TTTATTTTACAACATGCCATTTATTTTACAACATGCCATTTATTTTACAACATACCATTTATTTTACAACATGCCATTTATTTTACAACATGCCATTTATTTTACAACATGCCATTTATTTTACAACATGCCATTTATTTTACAACATGCCATTTATTTTACAACATGCCATTTATTTTACAACATGCCATTTATTTTACAACATACCATTTATTTTACAACATACCATTTATTTTACAACATACCATTTATTTTACAACATGCCATTTATTTTATAACATACCATTTATTTTACAACATACCATTTATTTTACAACATACCATTTATTTTACAACATACCATTTATTTTACAACATACCATTTATTTTACAACATACCATTTATTTTACAACATACCATTTATTTTACAACATACCATTTATTTTACAACATACCATTTATTTTACAACATACCATTTATTTTACAACATACCATTTATTTTACAACATACCATTTATTTTACAACATACCATTTATTTTACAACATACCATTTATTTTACAACATACGATTTATTTTACAACATACCATTTAATTTACAACATACCATTTATTTTACAACATACCATTTATTTTACAACATACCATTTATTTTACAACATACCATTTATTTTACAACATACCATTTATTTTACAACATACCATTTATTTTACAACATACCATTTATTTTACAACATGCCATTTATTTTACAACATACCATTTATTTTACAACATACCATTTATTTTACAACATGCCATTTATTTTACAACATACCATTTTATTTTACAACATGCCATTTATTTTACAATTTTATACCATTTATTTTACAACATGCCATTTATTTTACAACATACCATTTATTTTACAACATGCCATTTATTTTACAACATACCATTTATTTTACAACATGCCATTTATTTTACAACATACCATTTATTTTACAACATGCCATTTATTTTACAACATACCATTTATTTTACAACATACCATTTATTTTACAACATGCCATTTATTTTACAACATACCATTTATTTTACAACATGCCATTTATTTTACAACATGCCATTTATTTTACAACATACCATTTATTTTACAACATGCCATTTATTTTACAACATACCATTTATTTTTGTCCTAATGAACAATGCACAACTAGGTATGTGGGAAATATATATAAAATATGATAAGGATCAGTCTTGTAGTTCTTGGGAAATTGTAACAAAAAAATTATTACTTTCAAAATTTATAATGACAGCGCCAGGGCCATTTTCCCTCTAACCTGTTCCAAACTAAACCATACACAACAAGAGACAAAGAGACAAGATTGAGGGGTACGAAATTTGGGAATGATAACTTCATTACTACTCAAGCTAAAAGCGATGACAAATTATCAATGTAAAAAATGTGAACAACTTGGAGTCTAAGTATACCGACATATGTAATTTGAGGATGCTTGATCCAGTGGCTTCTCTGGAAATGATAACCAACGATAACTGCAAAATTACAAGATGGCCGCCTGTCGACATTTCTAACGACCTGGGTTACGAATTTGTCCGTCACTTGACGACTTCTCCAGATATAGCGGTACCAAACGGTAGCGGTAATTGTCTACGAACTGACCGCGTACAGAGGAATGATAAACAGGCTATTATGAAACTAGAAATTGTCAAAGACATTTTTCACAAGATTTTCAGCTATTTTGGCTTATAATAAAAGGCAATGCCTGCAATAAATTGGAACTTTGTATGAAATCAAATAGAAACGGAATCAAGAGTATGAGATCAAAGCACCGAGGGTACTGTTTTCCAAAATAATGCTGTGTAACGTTAATTTTGAACAGGACCACAGGAGGATTTTAAAGAAATTTCACAATTGTTAAACGTTTGGTAGTCCAAATAGCACTTAATGAAAACGTTAACCCCTTTGGAAAACCGGAAGTATGTCTTTTGTGGAAGTTTCTCTTTTACTAATCAAAAGCAAATCTCCGCAAACAGTTGTTAATCAAATCACGTACGTGATTTCCTCTTTAAAAAGTAAGAAAAGGTCATTTAATGCTATTAATAAAATTGACCCTTGTGACCTTGAAAGTGTCAAGGTCATCCATATTAACAACAGTTATCAACAATTATATTAATTTATATGTATTAGATATCGAGTCTCTAGGTCTTTTCAAACTTGAGAAAAAGTTTCGTATATGCCGGTACCCTACATTGAAGTTTTGAACTTTGACCCCTTTGAAACCGGAAGTTGGCTTAAGTGGAATATTTGCTTAAACCAATCAAAAGCAAGTCTCTATGGGAGGTTGTTAACCAAATCATGTAACTATTTCAATCTTAAAAAGTAAGAAAACGTCATTTAATGATATTAATATAATTGAACCTTTGACCTTGAAATTAAATCAAGGTCATTCATATTATTAAAACTAATAGATAATTAGCATTTATGTGTGTGAAATATCGAACGTCAAGACGTTTCAAAACCTGAGAAGAAGTTTCGGGTATTTTGGTATCCTAAATTGCACTTTAGAACTTTGACCCCTGCCTTTGAGTAATTTTAGTTCAAAATTTTTGTCTGCACTTCACATTGAACTATGGTATTTTTTAAAACGTATAACGTAACACGTAAAATAAAGGCCTAACAGAAGAAATGTGGACACTTAATGATCGGATTGACATTCTGTATTGAACTGTAGGGGAAAAAATCGAAAAAAAAAATTATGATAACATTTTTTTTTTTTAAGATGACCTTGACCATTGGTGAGCTTTTTTATTTGAAAGAATTTCTATTAACATGTAGAAAAAAAAGGTTAGATATGACCGTCCTTTACATAACATTTAACTGTAGCTAATTTGTAGGACAAAAAGTTTTCGAGTTATTGCGGTTTTTAGAATTTCTGGTAATTAGGTCATGACGGCCATAATATAATATCAAAAATATATATATACTTCAAAATGTGACATTAACAAGTTCAGATGTACTTCCATAACATACTATATAGGTTGCGTGCCTATCCCTAATCGTTTAAAAGATTACGAACCCACACATTCGGAAGAAGAATAATGATTAGAAACATAACAAAAACAATATGTCTTAACTTTAGGTGAAAAAACCTAATAAAATATTATATTCCGACTCCTCGGCTCTGAGATCCATACAACCAGTACAAGAGGCTCAATGGGTCTGAATCGTTCTCCTTTCCAGCAGCTTAAAGGAGGGAGGGATTCCGCAAACGTGAAAGTTCATTTCTCAAGCATGCTGATATAAAAATACCATGTATAGGGCATAGTGGTTATTTAACCTTATGACTCAGAAAATCACGAGAATGGGCCTCTTGGTTATTGAGAAACAGACATTTAAAGGAAATGAAGGCCAGTGCTTTGAACAAAGCTGATAGCCCGTCATCCCAAATGCCTGATATCACTACCCGAACCTTTATTAGGATGAAGGCGTTCGAAAACTTTTAAGGAATTCGGCACTTGTGACATTCATATCACTCTATATTATCTATTTGAACGGACGCCATTTATGCATTATGACATACTCAAAGTCTGGACCCTGATTATTTTGGCTGTTTAGCAGAAGATGTTTGAAAAGGCATTTTTAGTAAGTTAAGGTTCTGCATTCTAACAAAAATTTGTTCCAGCTTGCCATCGCTTTAAATAAATACCGTGCGCATTTTAGGTATTGTGATATATTTTAAAGAAAAAATGGTGACGACAGACGAACAGGTTAGGGACGATACGCAAAACATAAGCTCATTTGCTAGCTAATTAATAACTTTACAACGCTTACAAAATGGCCTACGCTGATAGTGTTCGCAAAAATTATCGTTTGTTTAGGCGCGAACATCGTACTCAATAATTTTTAACAGTTCTCTTAAGGATTCAAACCCGGGACATTTCTCTGTTTGGTAAATCTCATACTCGACCGAATTAGCAAATTGGAAAGAAAATAAAGAGTCGCTATGATAGACTTTTAACGTGCATGTTTTGAATGCTGAATATTTTTCTCCCATCAAGAAACCATGATTGATTCCATCAAAATAAAAAATAGCTACCATTTTAATTTGATATATTTATTTCATAGTATTCAGAAATGATGAAATACAGAACGGGTATGGATGAAATATTTACAACATAGTAATGTTTATCTCTTTTTACAACATATCTTTTCAACATATAAGACAATACGTTTCAAAGGATGAAAGAATTCATGTTTGTATACAACGTTAAAGACTGACAGTGTTTTCAAGTATTCAAATATTTTTGTATTGAACTCAAACTTAACTCTCTTCGTTCCAACTTATGTGAAATTGTAAATTTTACAACTCATATCTTGCTTGAAAGAAAGACAATATATGGCTTACTTAATATTTTAATGACGCCGCTGCTAAATGGACCGTACGCACAGGACATGTAGCAGTTATTCCAAAGTTGGCGTTACAATCCCATCTTGCCGAATTTGCCGTCTCCGTTACCTTCTATTAAGCAACAACCACTGCTTGTGTTGCCAGCCGTATCGTTGAACCACCGGCTGAAATGGTTTAATCTATGTTCATCTTCCCATATATGAACGGGTAATCAGAACTGTAGTGCGATAAAGAGTGTAAAATAGACAGAACCATAAGAAAGCGCACAACAAATTACATATTACCTATGTATGCTTATAGATACGTATCATCAAAGTGTCCATCTGCTGCTTGGTTGTATAGGACATGCATCTAGATCCACGTCTTGAAATTATACTGAGTGGACTAATCTCGCGATTTAAACTTTCTTTTAAAATCATATTAATTCTTTGTTGCACACTTAAATGCGATTCCTCAATGTGCATCAGTTCAGTGGATGTCATCAACAGCCGATCCGGTGTCCCAAAAGCGAATGAATAAACTCACTTTTGTTAAACTAGTCGTATCTGTATGAGTTGCGCCACAACCGATCCAATGCGCATTGTAGCATTCAGTTCAAGAACGTGAATCTTAATCAGTGTAGATTCCACTCCCAGATGTGAGTGTATTGCCATTCACCATTCCGTGTACACTAGCCGATTCATCTGATGGCAGAAGCCAGTACACACCTGAACCAGCAGATTGCCCAGATGGCCCTTCTCTTTCAGATATCATCGTCTCCTCTTGGATAATCGATTTTGGTGTTGTCTCATCCTGATCATTTGTATCATGTGTATCTCTAAAGAAGTGGTTTCTATTAGAAACGTGCCCATGCGACGAAACAGACGTCCCTACTTTGTAAATATTCAAGAGGAAATAGCTGATATCTTCATTACAAGGTACATCCATTTCCGCTAAAGCCATCCTGACGTTTGTCAAGAACGACTTATGATCTTTCTGTTGAATGTCTGATAAAGTTTCAAGTAACTCCAAGTTATCATCTACAGAAAGTGTTCTGTAACAAATGCAATAATGAAAAAGTATGGCCCTAGGGTATACAAAATAATTCTGATATTTTAAGATGATATTCAATTTTCAGTGTTGTTCATAGTACACCTTGCGATGTACAGTAAGGAATGCATTTGAACTTAACTAGTTATACCCAGCCAAGAAGATTTGAAATTACTCTTGAGGCATAACGTATTCAATGATTAGACAAATATTACCTTAGCTCGAATGACTGCAATATTTAACTTCAACTTTGTTACTAGGAATTTTGATTCGATGATTAAGTCATCAACTAACGACTTGTTATAAAACTCACCTTGAGTTACCTAACTTTTCCAGCAGTTTTTCCTTTGTCGCTCGTCTACGAAGACCACTCACAAGACGCCGAAGTAGTTCCTTTTGACTCGTGGGATGTTCGTCAGGTGACCCCCAAAGCTCAGCCTGATAAGGAACGCAATTTTTATAGCTACCAAGAGTACAGTCACTGCTCAAACATATGTAATGATATTACAAGGGATCAAATTGTGAATTTACACTGAACATGTAATTTTGGGATATTATTATTTAAAAGAAGACAAAATGATTCGTTAAACAAATAATCATGTATTGTTTTTACGAATAATGATGGTAATATCATTTAGGAAGTTTTAAAGTATAAGAAAATGAAAGAGATCTTAACAAGGAAAATACATAAGGTACTACTCACTGAAGGAAAATCGCCTTCTATGTTTAATTCCGGATTGAATCTACTTTCTTTATCCTGGTAGTGATTGCATCGAAGAAAGTTGACTACACAAATGGTTAGGGCTACTTTACCGCGAAACATTTTTCCACATTTTATTTTCCATTGGATGTCTCCATCATCTTGCAGGAGATGGCGATTCTTCATACAATCAATGGCAGGAGTATCGTCTATCAACTGAAACCCCCTAAAAGTTCTGCAATATCTACTTACTTAAACATATTAGAATCATTTTCATTTAATCAAAATCATGTTCAAATAATAATTCAAATTAAAACTGTAAACAGGTAAATGCTAAACATATTTTCCCCCCTTTAGCAAAGGGACAGTTTTGGGTTCAGTCTGATTGTTGAAACATAGCAGAGAAGTCAAACTGTGATTTTGAATAATATAGTATTCACTACTTGACGCTCTGGTGACGGTAGGGTAATGATTTCTTTGTCCGTTTTCGGTATAGTATGTCTTCAGCATTATACTGGTAGTACAAAGAAGTCGGCACCAGTTCTACACTAACACGAGAGGGCTCATACGTTTTCAGCCTCTTCCGAACACATGCTTTCAACACTCACTCACTTCGCACTTAGGTTTGAATCTTATTGTTCGTTATTCATTTTAAAGCAGTAATCAGAACAACAATTCTAGTCTGTCAAAGAAGCCAATGTAAGGAAGAAGTACGAGAACACAATGAGGTTCTTTGAAAAGACCTAGGGGAGTCAGACTGGATATTTCACTAGGTCTTTGTTGAAAATTAAACATGCTTTGAACAAATATGTTTTTCTATGCAATTTCATGTGATTAAAAAGATAGCAAGGGAAGTTTGTTTGAAAGATACAAGGTGAAGTCTAAAGAATCAAACACAATCAAGTTTTTGTCACTTTCGTGGTACATAAAGACGATAGCACAACCGTTTATTTGTTTTTCATCTACATGGATGTCTCTGTCAGCTATCGACGTTTGTAACATAAATCAAGCTATAGGAACCTGCCTTCAAATATCGAATTACGAAACGTGAAAATCTATGTAGATATTTGAATATGTACAAATCAATAACATTTAACATATTTACTGAACGATTTTATGTTGTCTTTATTTCATTAATTTCCCGTTCCTATCTATCTCTATGTAAATGACAAGACAACAAATGAATCAGGTTTGTACCCGCTGAGATACTGCGCCTCTTTCCCAACCATCTCACTTTTTTAACCTAACCTACCTTGGTATCTATGCATATTGCCAGAATACATGGAGTGTACAACCTCATATAGTTTAACGGAAGTGTGAAGCTAAATAAAAAGACAAAATATTTACCCTTAAGGATGTGGTACTCTTTTTACACTTAGCACTGTCAACACGACCACACCCTCGCATTTCGAAATAAAGAAGAATGCACTTGCGTCTGTTTTTTATTGTGTAATACCTAACCACTTTCTCCAACTAACTTTTCACCACTTGATCAATATTCCTAATAAACAGTCTGTATAAGACACATCACTGACTGATTAATATGTGTCATGAAAATATAAAGCAATTGTTTTCCTATGTAATATTAAACAGTATTCCTGAAATTCACTACTGAGTATGAATTCGTTGTTTTTGACTGAACCTGTCTACAACGACAGACCCTTATTTGAGAATGAATTCGATACGGGGCATGATATTGCATGTATTGACCGTTGGTTGGACTGACAAACCAGTGCTTCAGTGTGCCAATTTCCAAGTTTGAATTCACTGAAATAGTAGTACGGTTCAGAATATACACATGTACTTGACGTTTTTAAGGAATTATAAGATACACAGAAACAAATAAATGTGTTGAATGATAGTATGTATTATATTTTGTACGAATTTATTGAAGAGCTTATCACAACAGGTCACAAAGACCTTGCAAAGTCGTTTAAGTTCACCTTCAAAAATTTATTGACTACATATATATCGTATATATCAATCAGCATTGGAAATCAAAGATATGACAGACTCTTCTTCATCATCTTTTTCTACAGCGAAACCAAAATAGGCAGCTATATCCATTAAGCTGTATGATCTCGTAATGATTTCAATTTTCCTATTGTGAATTTTCCATTACTTAAAAGCAATATTCCTGCTTCTCTAACCTATGCGATTTACATCACAATTCATTCGATATTCAAGGGCCTATTCCCATTATCACGCTTCTCGTGAAAGAATCGTTATATGACCGACAAACTCGTAATACAGGGGCTCAAAAGATGCAGGTTGATGAAAAAGTTTTCTAATCGCCGTAATGATCTCATTGAAAACATTTCGATTTATTTGTGTGACATGAACCTCAACATATTTGATTTTGCCTGTTAATTCAGTTGTTGTATAACTTGTTCTCATTTGATGAAACAGGACACGCTTACTCTTCCGGAACACCTGGTCGTATTTTCCTTGTACTTTTTCAGGAGTCTCTGTGTAATGTTGCAACGTTGGTATTTTTCATGTTTTTATACCCTTAGCATCTCTGAGGTGTCCTAGACCAGCGAAACAGCCTGTAGTTTACTTCATTACTTTGCACTACTCTACCTGAATCAAAATCATAACCACTCACTTGAGAGTCATTTGTACAATACACAAGGTCTACAAGCTATACCTTGCGATTGTAGGAACGAAGTAAATGACCTCAAACATGGTTACCTACGTCACTGTTGCGATCTGCTGTAATGTTGACTGACTAAGTTTACCTTACAGGATCGTTAATTTGCCGTATTTGTTTTAAGTAATCTCGGTTACATACCTGTTCCTTTTCGTATATGACATTTTGGTCATTATCTGTCACGTGACCCCAATGTTCTGGAGGTTTGAGTCTGAATTTCAGCCCTGTGCCTTGACCATTTCCAAACACGTTGATTTTACCCCTGTCGATTCTTCTGAATTTGATTTCCTCCATTGACCTGTTTCGTTCCTAAATCAAATGACAATAAAATTGAAATGGAACATGGATTTGATTATTTATTTTCATGTACTTGTTTCTTGCAACATCTGCATTTTCATTTTTCGTTGTTCAATAGAAATAAATACATATTACGGAATGTACAATTAAGCTTTCTTTTGTTACCTTGTTTTTGTTTTCAAATACATATATTTCAAGTTCTGCATATAGCAGTTTAAGAATAAATTCACCAGAAAAATAATTCTGAAATAAATATAATTATTAATTAAATTTCCTGAATGGAAAGCTCAAAATGCAAGCAAACTTTTTAAGACTTTAATCTTTGATACACATATAGGATTTCTTTTCGTGATTTTTGGCAGGATTCAGAAATATCTATATCTATATATTGATATAAAACAACAGACCTCCCGGCAGTCAAGCAACATTTCGTATGGGCCAAGAAGCGGCATCTTGACATGAACAGTCGGGAGTCCATCAAGGCTGCCTTCCCTGGCATATATCTCGGCCGCCAGTTTAAATGGAATCTCTTCCATGCATGCAGTGCAGTAAAACAGAGAGAAATGTCTTGTGTACACTCGTATACAGTTGTTTCTATCTTCAGGGATGACATAGAACACTTCTAAGTTGGCATTAAGTGCGTTCTTTTCGAGAGGTACATTGCGCATTTTTTGAGGGTTTGTTATATCTTTTGTGTCTATCCAATGGACTTTCAAAGTGTTTGATCTGACTGAAATGCATAGTGGAATTTCTATCATTGCGTAATCACTGAGAATCACATGCTTTCCTATATAAAATTCGGGAACAGGTGAAACCAGCATCCTGCCATTTTCAATATCTAAATACTTTGACAGCTGTTCTAAATCAGTGTGAATAGAACCACATAAAGGAAAAGAGGAATCAGGTCTTTGTTTGAAATTTCCCTCTGAAAAAATCAGTTTAACATCTGATCTTTCGATAGGAACTTTCAAGTTCTTCAAACTAATTTTTGTACGGATACGTAATTGTCCATTTAAGATATCTGTTGATGGAATATCACCATTTTCAATGCTGGCAAGTTTGTTCCGTTTTAATTGTGGTCCTGGATGCTCCGTATCATGTACTGGTTTTGGTGGGTTTTTTCGTAAACAACCCAGATCACTTATTTTAGACAAATGAAAGTTATTGTTTCCCACTTCATTAAATGAATCTGAGAAATCGCAACTCCTTCTTTGTCCTTCAATGTCATCGTCTGTGTCAAGACATGGATTGCAAAAGACCTCATTTTCTGCCTCAGTATTTCCATTACTATACGTAATCAGAGAGTCCAATCTTTGTGATTCGGATAAAGGTTGTCTTGCTTCCCTGTAGTTTATGTTTTTGATTAGATGTCGCCAGATAAAGACACAAATTGTCAATATTGTCACTGCTACGACAATTATTACAAGTGGAATCACATACGGTGCATTATTGCCTAAAAACAACAGAAAATAAATTCAAACAAACAATAAAGCTATTTTCATTTAAAAGATGCGTCATCTTAAAACTTTCGTTCACCATGGATACCAACAAGTGGACACAAAAATGATTTTAATTTCAAAGGTTAAGGTGATATCGGTCAGATGAAATATGTCGATGTGATTTTCCATATGTCATTGTAATCAAATGGTAGTGTATAGTAGCATAAAATGATGGTATATAGAATTAAAACTGCTGTTTTGATATTTTAAATGCAACGCTGTTATTTTTGCGTCGAAAAAAATTACAATATGATTATAGATTTCATTGAAATGTAATCAAATTAGTTTGACCATAATAAAATATTTCAAATTCTAATCAAACTAAATTATATTATCATATACTGAAACTTTTCCAAGATTTGTTAAAAATTTATTGAAACTTTTGGTTAGTATGTTCAGTTTATGACTGATGATTTGATGATCAGTTGTGTGAAGTTTGATTGAAAGTCACCAAGGAATTAAGACTTGACAAGGATTTACAAAATCGTAGAGGTGATTCTAACCTTGTCCCACAACCCCTGAAGTTTGATCAAAATTCCGTAAAAAAGGAGGCCACGAGAGCTGAAAAAAATGTTCAATGATCTTAAATTTGACCGTACAACCCTTAGATTAAAATTTGCCACATATTCCAATTTTCTACAGTTTGTGAAGTTTGATCAAACTACCTCTGGTAATGAAGCCACTAAGTTGTTTTGTGAAAGGCAAAAACAAGCAAGAAAAACCAACATACCAATAATCTAATTTCAAATTAAATAAAACAATGGGAAAACATGGACAAAAGATTTGCATGGAGATTCCAAAAAAAGAGTAATAAGAATAAAACCACGTACTCTGAAAGAGTAAGCGTCGTCTGCTTCATCGACGACATCTGCCATGTAAACATTAAAATGAGTACAAGGTATACAACAACAGAACTAACTGGTACACTAACGACTTTTAAAAAAATGATTTTCTAAAGACGTAACACTGTGCCCTTGACCTTAGAATCTTGAAATTTGAATTCGTCCACTATAAGATAGTTCGTCATAAGTGTGACGGAAATGGGGCTGCAAAAGCATGGAAAGGATTTTCTGTTAATAGAATCGATCATAGTACCTTGAACCTTTAAGTATAAATACAGTGTATGTGAAGTTTGTTCAAATTCCATCAAGGTGTGAAGAAGCTGGAATCCCTACAATCATTACGTTACATACAGGGACATTTATATTTCCCCTTGATTTGTAAAAAAGGAAGTAAATAACTGTAACGTACGTTTGTCGGAATCTGGTTCCTCCGTCGCCAATGTGTATTGTTCCGTAGAGTTTAGAATGCTTTCCATTGAAGATCCTTGATGATTGCAGGATTTATTTAAGGTTAAGAAAGTGTGTATCTATCTATTGTTTTAGATGGTCGTCACTGCAAATAAAGGAAAAATATAGATGATAACACAATAACAGTATCGGGAGGCAGACCGATGTGCTCGTCTCACTCCACCGAATATTCATGGTTTATTATATCGAAATTTGTACATTCTCAATGCCGTTATGCAAAATACAATTTCATGTAATGCTTATGAAGTCTTTCAAATCGATATGAATTTAAGGAAGGAGATGTAAGGGAAAAGAAATGTGGTAAAAAGCTAATCGATATTGAAATTCAATAATCACCAATCAGATTACTTCCGTAAATGCTTAGCACTGTTCTTTTCACTTTCTCCAAAATATTTATCGACATTTTGCTCACTGTTGTGAAGAGTAAGATAAATACACGAAATACACGAAGCTGGCACATCATACAGATGAAGATAAAACACCACAGTTGTCAAGCCTGGGAACTTAAGATAATAAAACCCTTCATACTTAGCAGTAATATATCACGTGTGAAACTGACTTGATTAGAGTTTTACCGAAAACTATTGTTGTTGCCATGTCATTTTTTTTTTTTTTTTCGATCTGACCTTCGTGAACGTGCATCCTAAATCTTCCACATCCTGTCTTTCACTTCGTGTATGTGATATTTACATATAAATCAGTTAGGTACTATTCATAACAATAACACATTTTAAATGAAAATATTTTTCTTTTCTTTATGTGTTTTTCACTTTATTTCTATATTATCTAATTTGTCCCTTTTGCAGTATATCAGGATTGGCAACCCTCTAAATGCAGTCATTATGCGTTTTTCATAGCGGATGTGCTGAAAAATGGCCAAACAAATTGGTGTTGGACTTCTTGAACAACATAGAAATGAGTATACATATCTTGCCATGACGTTAGCCGCGATTTTTGAGATAATTGCCTGAAATCAATACAAAAAGAATGATCTAGCATCAGAAGTCACTATTGTTAGTTTGATTCTTAACACAGACCATGCAATTAAGATTAATTAAGGTAAATGAACAACTGTCGAAGGAAAACCAGGAACAAAATTGACAAAAGGACGTAAACTTATTTGCCTACTACGTTTAACGAATAGTGTATATTATATCAGAAATAAAGAGCTCTTTCAAGCAGTTCGGAATGCTATACATGTTTTCAGTATCAAACAGTAATTTTAGACTAGCTGTATTCTTTTTTTTTTCACTTGTTGCTTCAGTTTTATGGATTTTTAGTTTGGATTATGACTTTGTTGCTATGCTGATATTTTATTAATGTTAATTGTAGGTGTAAAGACGTTTCTAACTGAACTTAAAGCTCAAAATTTGGCAACAAATAATTGAAGTGCAACGTTACTCCATTTTATTTATGGAATTCATGGCATCGTATGCAAATTATCAAAGGTCAAATATTATCAAGCTACTGTGTAGTTGGTAATGATGGCGGGGGATTTAACTTCGCCTAAGTGTGATCATCATTCATAGAGCAAAATTAACTCCCAGAAAACATTTTTTAACTGAAAGAAAACTATCAGAAAATGTGTATTACATGCCTGTATGCATAAAAACCGAGTCGACATCAGGGAAATTAATATATGGCCCTAACCGGAACAACCGCAAAATAGCAGCCCTCGAAATGTAAACATCTCTACAAGTTTAACCCCTGCCAATTCTGAATGACAGTTTACCTCCCAAATTTAGTCCTCGGCCAGTTTTTGTTTTTGCTTTTATTTATTTATTTATTTATTTATTTATTTATCTTTTTAGGTTATACTGTATTTCATAGCACTTTCATAAAGTTAACCTGCATTTCTTTTGTACAATAAGTTAAGTGTGAATAAATAAGTGTTAAAAAACTACTGTGACAGAGTACGTAACACAGCCATTAAATATACTTAGGATTTTTACATGATGCGTCACAGATCTTTTAAACAGAACTAGACAGCACGGAACACAACAAAATACATTTATCGCATTACTAACGAGCCCTTTATGTAGTCACAACGGACATTGTACAGTTTATAGAAATTAATACCCTACTTTAAGTTTTAATTGTGTTGGATTGTAGTATTGTCGCATCAAATTACAGGCCGACATTTTTCAAGACGGAAGAACGTTCTTAAATGACCCTGGCTGTTGAAAGGACATTATACAATATTAACCAACCAACTCATAAAGGACGATTATTTAGAAAAAGAAATAGACTTTGAAAAACTGTCCAATAGAGACACAAGTCAATATACCATTTCAAGTCAAAGGATCTCTTTCAGGAACAATGATAGGATTAAAAAGTTCAAAAGGTCCCTAAATATTTAGTGACATAACAAAACTGCTAGTTTTTCAAAAAAATGTAAATTTGATAAACAAGGATGTTTGACAATAAAATATTGAAGAATTGTTCTTTTTTTTATATTTTTTAACGAGGACAATTTTTAAAAGAACTGAAGCATATATTTTCCTGTTTGAGTACACCAAAAGTCGTATATGTTATTTGGCCCTGTATGTCAAGAACATATGGTGAAAATTTCAGGAAAATCGTGAAACAGTGAAGGTGTCATTTAAAAGCCAAAAGATTAGTTTTTTTCAATTTCAGTAAATGTATAAATATTGTTTATTGATAAGAATAGTAATCTCGACAGTGCACACTAAAAATAACTTGAATACCTAGACATGTATAACCCGTTTCACAGCAGGAAGTTAAAACGTGAGATAAAATTATCGACAACTGCGTGAGAAGATCTACAGTGATAAAATATACAGCATGATACATTATGTATTACAAGATTTGTTATAGAATATTGAATATCGGACATTTATAGTAAGAATATAGCAAGATACAAAACGACACAACAATGGTCAACAATATGTCAATTAGACGAACAACAATCATTTTGTTTAGTTCTTGACGGGTAAAGCTTGATGTCTCAAAGTTGTGAATACGTTACAACGAGCTTTGTCAATTCTGTGCCGTGTGACTGTCCAGTGGACGTTACACATGAGTGGCACAGTAGATGAAAAACTGTAGCAACAGAAAAGTCAAACATGAACTGGTTTACAATAATACTCACCAAGCGAATGTAAGAGTATCGATGGAGACGACCCGTTGTTAATTTTACAGCGACGTGTCGCATTATCAAACACCCCGTAACAATTTGGAATTACCAATGCTATACAAAGCCAACCAATCGCCTCTCTCATACATGTTTAGTCATACGCGGGGTGTTAATAATCATAACAGACAGTATCACACTATGGAATGTAATATGCTACTCCTATTCATGGCCTATGAAAAAATGTTCGTTCAATCCAGCAGGTCAATATGGTGACGGGTATCCTTGGGTTCATGGTCGAATGAGGGCGGATATCCACTAAAGGTCGTTAGACCACAAATAGATGAAAACGTAGACGTAACTTACTAACTAGTTTTCCTACAACGAAACCAACATGGACAGCTTTCCACCAATCTGTATGACAAGTTGTATTGTAAATTTTCCAGAACATATAATCTTATTCTCCTTGCCCTTTCGGGAGTCTCCGTGTAATTTTTTTTCTATTTGTTAATAGTTTGCCTTCGTTTTATCAAATTTGAGTTTGGATTATGATTGTGTTGACATGTCTGCATTTTCTTAGTAGTTTTCACATTTATCACTCTTGTTGACCCGGATTAACAAACGGATTACCTCAGGCAGGTAATCGCATCCTTTTTTTCACGTCTGACTAATGAAAAGGTAAAAGACGAGAACGTTAACTACTGCGCCATCTGACTATCCATTTTTGTAATACGGTCGATAGGCAGAGTCCTCATACATAAACTTGAAATGTTAGCAACCCGGCATTTAGCTAATATCTTATATAATTCATGACAGTGCAATCAAACATTGCTGAATTTAACAAACAGTTCGCTCCTAAACCTAGGCATAATTTCTCAACCATCATCAAATGGGTCAGATCACTTCGTTCATTCTCCGGTCTTGCCTTTTTTGTTTTTTAAGTGTCATAATGTGTTATCGTAATTTCTGGATCTTTACCAAATTTCATATGTAGATTATTTTGGTCTGGCGGCCATCTTGGATCTGACAGAAAACTATTATTATCTCGAAAGATGACATTTCAAAGTTCACATTAGAGAGAGCAAAAACTAAGAAAATAGAAAAGAAGGGAAGGAAAATATCAAACTGTTTCAGATCAACTTAAGATCAAAACATGGTGGGCATTAAGAGCGAACGTACAACTTAAGGCCAAGAGTGAGGAGATGTTCAGAAAGACATTAGGGAGATCTTTGGAAAAAGGTTAAAGTTTACTCCTTTCAACAAACGATCATGAAATGTGGCAGCAGATACAATTCTTGCTTGCCCTTTCTGCATGAGGAACATTTTCGACTTAATTAATAGTAAAACAAAATAGTGTTTGTTTATTCTTTAAATTCCTTTCCCAGTGTAAATGATGAAGAACGATCTTTAAAAATCTTCCATACCGAAACTAATATCCTCCTTCCATCTCCTTTATGTTTTTGAAAGAAAAATGTATTCCGAATGGCGATTGTGAACCCGCAAATGATGTTCCGAAAGGCAGAAGGCAAACATTATTTTACGGAGAGTTTAAGGAGATCTATCTTATATTGTTATATACTTGAACTGTTCTAAATGTTTTTTTATAGTTTGTACGGGTGTCTACCCCTAATTTTGTCCGTGATTCCAAGATATGTGTGTAAAACGGAGAAAGGATATTCCCTAAATTAGGAATGCTTTTCAACGTCCCAATGTTCATTTTAAAAATCAATTTATTTCCACCATTTTTTTTCTTCAAAAAGCAATTAGCACTAGAATTATCTGTGAGTCTTTTTATCACCGCTATCCTGAGCATGTCCATGTGTGTTTCTCTGACTTCAAATCCACAATGATCATTGTTACCTTTCATTGTTTTTTTTCTAAACTGTTATGAGAAACACGTTTGGCTTTGAATTAATAAAGCCTAGTGACTGGTCTTTGACATTTTTTCTGGCTGTTAACAGATTTGGTTGAGTGCATTCATGAGTTTTTCATCTTCCATTACCGGAGATTTACACGAATTTCATGTTGAAATTTTTACGATCATGCAAATATAGAAACAGTAGGCACGATATTTTACTCCGTAACTTCAGGAAAATCAAAGTTAGTGCCTCATGAAACACATCAGCAGAAATGAGAAAATTGTATCCAGTATTAACTACGTCTTATCCAAAACATGTTTGAAAAAGTCAAACAAAATGCAGACGAGTAGATCTAAGAAGATTCTAAAAACAATGTACATGAGACGAATTTATAAACCTTGCGACTAGCCTCACCTCTTGGAATAAAAAATATGGTATATGCGTTATATTTCAGGCCATTTGTTTTGCAAGATGAAATGTATTTCGTCATTCTAGTGGTACAAGAGATATTGAATTATTTATCTCAGTTGCCTCCCTTTCAATATGAAACAAGATAAGTCAACACCATTTAACTATTTGTCATATGCAGTAAAATCGAATTATGATTTGAGAATTGTTGATATTTGTGTGTGTATGGGAAAGAGGGACTGGTGTGTGTGTGTGTGTGTGTGTGTGTGTGTGTGTGTGTGTGTGTGTGTGTGTGTGTGTGTGTGTGTGTGAGGGTGTGTGTGTGTGTGTGTGTGTGGTGTGTATTTATGTTTATAAAGATTTGCAGGTGAAAACCTGAGAATCCAGTGGGTGTTTTTTAATATCTTTAATACGATGATAAAAATAGAGATAATTTTTATCACTCTATGAAGCTGTCTTTAAATGACCATAGCTCCCCTAGTTTTGTAAGTTAGTTGATGATATGAATATTCCTTCTGGTCATGTACAGCATAGTGTTATACATTATACAATAAAGTAATTATGATTATAACACTCGAAATTTTCACCTTTGAAGACAAATATAAATCTTGAAATGATAAAACAAACAAATAATGAAGGAAACGGCATTATACAGCTGTTTCGTCCTTCTAGGACTCGTCAGTGATGCTACATCATACAGCTGTATCGTCCTTAAGGGACTCGTCAGTGATACTACATCATACAGCTGTATCGTCCTTCTAGGACTCGTCGGTGATACTACATCATACAGTTGTATCGTCCTTCTAGGACTCGTCGGTGATACTACATCATACAGCTGTATCGTCCTTCTAGGACTCGTCGGTGATACTACATCATACAGCTGTTTCGTACAGTGTATCCTTCTAGTGATGCTCATCATACAGCTGTTTACTACATCATACAGCTGTATCGTCCTTCTAGGACTCGTCGGTGATACTACATCATACAGCTGTTTCGTCCTTCTAGGACTCGTCGGTGATACTACATCATACAGCTGTATCGTCCTACTAGGACTCGTCGATGATACTACATCATACAGCTGTATCGTCCTTCTAGGACTCGTCGGTGATACTACACCATACAGCTGTATCATCCTTCTAGGACTCGTCCGTGATACTACACCATACAGCTGTTTCGTCCTTCTAGGACTCGTCAGTGATGCTACATCATACAGCTGTTTCGTCCTTCTAGGACTCGTCAGTGATACCACATCATACAGCTGGTTCGTCCTTCTAGGACTCGTCAGTGATGCTACATCATACAGCTGTTTAGTCCTTCTAGGACTCGTCAGTGATGCTACATCATACAGCTGTTTCGTCCTTCTAGGACTCGTCAGTGTTGTTTTCCGACCTAAATTTTTACACCAATGAGGATATTGGGGGAAATTCCAAACCGGTCGACATAAATATAATGGTGTGGGAGACGCACTATCCACATAAATAGATAAATGGCGTATTCTGCATATATCTAATAGATAAACAAGCATCACGCACACGTGTTGATTGTTCATCACGTGGGTGTTGTCACGAACAATGACTCTTAAATATAGTTCAGTATATATAAATTGTTTGCATTGTATGGTGTGGCTATAATACCACAAATACATCAAGGTAAAATTCGGGGAGGCCTCTCATATTCACTGCATTTCCGGGTACATAGGATATCGATTTTTTAGATCACATGTAACTGTAGATCGAGCAAGCGAATTGATCTTTGAGTTGGAAACGGGCACCGTTATGCGCGTACATACGATGTAAATGATTCATACAACACGGATATCTTTAATCACACTGAACCCGTTACTCCAGTACAATAATTAATTTGTACTAACGCAGAACAACTTGATCCTGTCCAGCTTTTATTTTTAACCGTATTCATACAATTTTCTAATAGTTATGATATTTAGACACAGCTATTTACATAATGTAGATATTGTTTGTGTAACCTTTCCAAGTCTTTGACCTACAATCAATAACAACAAAGCACAACACTCGATACTGAGTTTATTTGAAATTTTCTATCGCGGAATCAGAAATACTCCTTTTAATTTCTCACGATATCAGTTGTTTTCTTTATTACTTTTTCAACTTGGGATTTGAAAATAACCTTTTCAATATATATCAACTGAAATCAGACCAAGCTTATATACTTTCATACCTCGACGTATACTATGTAGATAGCACTGACTACACATATATGTATATATATGACTTACATGTGGATTGCCAGCTGTTCCCGCGTTTAAGTCAATGTAATGCGATGAAGCAGACGACACAAAGCAGATAGACCAACGGTGCAGATACCTGTTGCTGTTTATTATCCCTTTAGCCAGATATGATATGGGATAGTAAGTAAACACCAAGATGACTACATTGACCGACGACGTAATTAATGAATACAAACGGGATGTTCCACAGTCATTTCCAGATCACATCGATCACAACCAGAGAATATCATACCAATGGCGGTGCAATCGTGCGTGGAAAAGGATCCGTCTACGCTTAAAAGAAGATAGATTGTTCAAAGGAAAAGTGTATTACAGCTTGTGTATATATTTTGCCTTTTTCGTCATCGTAAGTATATGCATGACGTTTTTATTTCTTGCCGCATATCTTCCATAGCTGCTGTATTTCCGTGAACATATGCCAGTGGACAATAAGAATAAAGGTTCTACACAATTTATCACGATAATGTGTCCAGGTATTTAAAATTCTGCCATTGAAAACGACCTTTGAATGACCCTGTTATCAGTAAACACTTCATCGTAGCTATTGGGCAACGAAAATTGAAACATAATCGATTCAACAGTCATGCGAACCAAAACTTCGTCGGATATCATATATCCTGTTTCTTGGATTTCATCGAAAAAGAAAAGTTTATTTACGATGTATAAATGTATATCTAGTGATGACACATCGATGGTAGCCAAACTTTGGTAACTTATAATATATACACTGATTTAGTGGGATGTTGGTTTAACCTAAATATTTGCTCTTTTCAATGGAAAAAATAAAATATCCTTCAGTTGAATTTCTTTGAATTGACAATGTTATAGATAATTTATATGCTGATAAATGGCTAGCCTTAACTTTTAAATATGATTGTTTAAAGCCGGGGTATATCTATGTAAAGAATTGCTTCCACTTGTTCTATTTCTCTTTCCATGCATCTATAACTGGAGAAGTGATATATATATAGGTATACACTACTAACTCATCCGATGGTGTGTTTCTGTACAATGGAAGTATGCTAAATTCATAAATTGTCTTTTGCCTTTCTCTTGAAAATCAAGGAACCTTAAATTTGGATTATATCAGAAAAAACAATTTACAATAAACATTTGTCATTAATATCTAGAGTCTTTATGAATTCTTTGTGGATTCTTTTAACCAAGAGGTTTACATGGCGAGTGTCTTACATAAAGCGGAAAACGCTGACACTTTCAGAACACCTGGTCATTTTCTCCTTTTGCGTTTTAAGGAGCAGCTGCTTATATCTTTCTTTTACGCGTATGTTTTCTTATCGAGTTGAATTAAGATACTGTAAACATGTCGGTATGTTCCTAGTTGTTTTTAAACAGAAAACAGAATAAGTCCTTGTTTTAATACCGTAGAAGGTACAGGGATGTAGGTCTATGATTACACATTTAACGGTGAATGTCTAAGTGATCCTCGGATAAGCCTTGTATAAAAAGACACGGTGAAATATTGATTTACTTAAATACTGATCAGAAAATAGTTTTCTAATGCCAACAGCAGTGTTTATAAATATGGTTCTTTTTATCTATTAACAGCAAACAAATTAAATAGATATCATTAGTTGCATGATTTGTAAAATTACAAAACATGCTATGTCATTTCGTTCATACATTCATATCAGTAAAGAAGAATCTAACTGAATGCACTCTTACAGAAGGTAGATTGCAGTGTTCTTATCTGTAATATATATTTATATATTTACACACACGCAGCTGTTGCACTTTCTATGACATTTACGTAAAAAGCTATTAGCAATGATATTCTGAAACTAAAGGACCAACGTGTAACTACATTTGGGGTATGGATATAGGTTACATATGTTCTTCCCGTAGTTTTTTTTTCTCTGTGGAAATATGTTGTCTATATTTTGCATGAGTTTTAATGAATCTAAATTGAGTTGTTAAGATTTATTTTTATTTCTTTGATTATCTATTTAATTGTTTTCTTCTTGTGGCATTCAAACAAGTTTTCGAACAAAGTCATCAGAATAAACTCGGTGGTTGATACTTACATAAGCAGAGCTGGACGAGGAAATTAAAAACTATGAATGTCCCATTAAAATCAGTTTCCACTGGCTAGATATCGATGTATATATCAGTGCTTTGTGAAAATATATTTCATATAGTAAGTTATAAATACACAATCGAGTTAATATAAATATGTTAATAGTACTAATGTACATGTGTATATCATTTCACTTCAGTATATACACTAGTAGAAGCTAGCGATACTACGTGCCTAGCAATATAGTGATTCAGATAGACATTGTCAATACAGCCTAGTGTACGGCTACTCACGTTCGAAATGTAGTTATAGATATCAAAAATCTTTTTATCACATAATATATTCCACAGTGCAATAATACTCTAAAGATATACAATTTAAATACCCATATTATTACAATTTTATGAAAGTATTGACAAGGCTGTAACATTAACGTTAACATATTTTTTTTCTTTTTTTTTTTGGGGGGGGGGGGGGGGGGTTAAAAAAATTGAAATCGTTTTGTGTTCAACAGGAATTGGTGTTTGAAATTATCTCATGTGACTGCGCTGGTCTCTGATATCGTATTTACATTGCAAATACTACAGGAATAGGCTATGACTTTTAAAGAGCCTTATCGTGAAACACAGTGATAAGACATTCCAGGTCAGGCAATAACACTAGTCAAATATTCATCCTTTGTCTTTCGTTCTCTCTTTATTTGTAATATAGGCATTGAATATTGCATTTAAACATGTTCATTGTCCTTTTATGTCAAGGGTTGGATAAAGGGGCAGTTCGGCCCCTCATTTCCGGACTTGAGACTTATCTGTAACGTGGACATAGAAAAGGGCTCATGGATAGTGACAACGTTCTACATCGGATATACATTCGGATCCATTCTTGAGGGGTTTCTCTACAGCAAAGTCAACCGGAAATTGCTCTTTGGTGCATGCCTATCAATATTAGCAGCTATGGTTACTGTAATTCCTTGGTGCTTCCCGTTTGAAGCTATGGTAGCCGCCCACTTTGTACAAGGGACTATGGAAGGAGTTTTAGATCCAGGTAAACTAATTATCATTATATTACATAATCAATATCAGACGATGATATCACATCTCTTATAAATCAATATTTATATGTATTGACCATGTCGATCGTATAATGAAATTGGAAATTAAGGACACGACAGACTCAGCCGCTTTCCCCACAACAAAACCACCAGGTAGAGTGTACTGTATTGACTAGATGTGCAAGGGCTTGTTCCCAATATCACGATTGTCGTGCACGATGTCGAGAGCTGAAAGTTAAACACGTGACTTTCAAGAACTGTACATTGATAATGACAAAAGATAGTTTATGGGTCGACCTGTTGATCATATCAGGAAATATTCCAGTTCCTCGTGCAATAGAAAGTTCGATGCTATTTATGATACCTTGTGGCTCCTTTGTTAGTCTCGTTAACGTTGTAACACTACTATTTTGGATTGAGCAAGATTTACATTGAAGGTGCTTACATTTCCGAAACATTTACTTGTTCACTTTTCATGTGTCTTTAGATAAGTCTTTCATTTATTAATTTTCCCCATAGTTGCATCGGATTTGAGAGTGAAATACGTTCTGTTGCCATATTTGTATGTTTTTCATGTAGTATTTATCGTGAGAGTTCACAACCTACATACGATCCCATGCCATTTGTTTCGTCTTACTCGTTGCTACGGGCTTTCATGACCGTTAGGGCCGTATGTGGAAAGGTGTCAAGAGGGACACTTAAACTGGAAAAAAGGACAAATATACAGAGCAGGTAGACTGAAACAAAGGGAAAGGTTCAGATCGGAAGTGTTGTGTCAGGGCAGTAGATGTATCAAGGTCACTCAAATGTCCCCTCTGTTGAAGAAACGGAGGAAACCCCTGATTCTGCAGGTGCCCTGTAGTAGTCGCCTTCTACCTAAATGCCTCGGAATATAGCAGACCATTTTCTTGGGTTCCCCGATATCTCTTTAACGTCAGATATTAGAGAAATCCCTCGGATGTCAAAATTATTCGCCTCTTAACACACGCAGTTTTATAAAGCAGATAATGTGTCCTCGTCTCCTGAGCGGGTCTCGCTGACTTGCAAATCGATGTTAAAAGTTATTTCCTATAATTAATCTTTTTCGGCTTTGATCCTGTATAGAAACGTTGGGTAGTAGATTTGTTCTTGGATTTCACATCGTCGCAATGGCACGCGTCATTCGCATGAGTTGCCGACAGATTACTGGGCCACTGATGGGCACTTTTTAGTGTTATCACACTGAAATGTCATAACCAGGACACGACAAAATGGTGTTGTGCTCGGTCACATTATAGTGATAATTTTCCATTTCTGGATAGCATCAACAGATGTTTTTAATTTTCCTTATGTGAATTTTCCATTTCTGAACAATATAAACACAGCATCCCCCACGTATGGTTGTTACTTGTCACAACTGATTCGATATTCAAGGGTATGTTTCCATTATCACGATTTTCGTGACAGAAGTCCTCAACTGACTGACAAACCCTTGATACCGAATTTCACATATGTTGTTGATAAAAAGTATGAGGGAATTTTACAGTCGTCATTGTGATCTCTTTGAGAAATATTCTATTTCTTTGTATGATATGAAGCTGGACGTGTTTGATGCTCGTTAGTTTGACTGTCGGTTCTTTTGTTGTATACTTCATTCTTATCTGAGAACCTAAAATTACTTACTTTAATTGACTAAGATTTACATGGCGGAATTCGTTGATGAAGCAAAAGACGCTTACTTTTCCAGAACTTCTTATCTTATTCTCCTTGTAGTTTCTTCAGGGGTCCAAGAATAATTTTTCTTTTTACTCATATTTTGCCCTAGTTTAATGGCATTTGCGTTTTGATTATAATTTTGTTGAAATGTTCGTATTTTGAATTGGTTGTTTTCATGAAATATAGATAAAATATTTAGTTCACATATGATCTAACTAATAAAAAAAACCAAATGTTTTCATGTAATATGCTATTAGTAATAGTAATAGTATAAGTATGTCTCAATTTCAGTTCTTACGAAAAATGTTGTTGAATTGTAATGACATCCTGACTACGTTAGGAAGAGAAAATGTATACCAAACAAGCTGTACAAAATCCACAACTGGTTTTGACACCTTATTTGTGTATTTATATAAGTACTTTATTTGTCAGATGCATCGTCTCTCTTAAAACAAAATATTATTTTGATTACTATGAAAACACCTCACCCTGTGCGATAAAGGTCAATTTTGACAATATATTGACTTTGATTCATTATCAGATTCTCTACTATATAACAGAGGTCAAAGTGACATATCTTGTTTATTTTCCCCGATGATACGCTGAATATTGAGTGTAGTATAGAGATAAAGAGGCGTTATCTGTACCACCTATCTCTTTCATCCCAATGAATACTTTGGGTTAACTAGCCAAGAACTTTCAAACGATTCTTAAGATAATGGCATATGAGGGGGACATTTAGCAATATATACCATGATGTCAAAAAATCATTATAAGAATAACGACCCCTTGTCAACGAAATCGCAACTCAACTCAAAATTCATAAAACGACTGCAAGATATGAACAAGTTAGAGATTTCGTGGAACCCCCGGAATGAGTGCAACGAAAATAAGACTTAGTGTACTCAAACTACTCAGTGGATTCTAAGAACCAAACACTTACTGCAATCGTACGGATTTTAATCCTTAGAAACTCAGCGAGAATTACAAACCTGCATGTTCTAATCACGACATTCGTTTTGACATGTCTGATCCAGAGACATATATTGCTATAAAACACATCATTAAACTGAAAGTCATCTTCTGGCTGTCAGTGCTAGATTATGTAACAGTAGATAAGGTTTGATATGACGTTCTTCCTAGAAAACAAAGCCACTTTCAAGATCAATGCGATTTGACGGTTTTGCAGAAGCTGTCCCATGAAGCGTTGAGTACATACCATGCGTCACTTTACTTACCGTTGTTTGATGCCAAGGTTGTGAGGAAGAATATTTTAACATTGCCTCCAATGGCATCGTAGCAACTGATTTGAATAATAAAGCAGAGATGCTGCAGTGCACTATTCCTGAAATAAGAATCGTATCTACTGCCCCCAATGTGTGAGCGTCAGAAGTGAATAAACTTCTAAACTGCTTCTCTTCTTCCCAATGGCGTTTTTTCGTTCAGCTTCTGTCTTGACATCGCCTCTCATTCAGTGTTAGTGTTGAGCGTTTGTCTAAGTGAAGAGAGCGATGGGTTCTGTTTCCAAGCCACGGCATACTAAAGTCGTTAAAATGATACTTGATGCTTCCTGTTTGTCATTGATGCAATGGATGTACATGGACTATTAAGCAGTTATCAGTTTGATGTGAACTGTTTGGGTTTCATATTGACATGTGTAGGTATGATGGCACTCTAAAAACTTCGTGGCACCATTATCCGTAGATACCTTCTTCATATGATCTGAGCTGTTACAAGGACATAAACCCCAACAACAATTAACTTCACAATAATGTTACAAGGTAATGATGTATCAATTTCATACCGTCGTCAATTTTGTTGTTTTACCAAACCTAGTTGATGTATGCATTTAATGATTGGGAAACAAAACAATAAATTTTCTCTGTGCGATGACAACTAAGATATAGCAACCCTCCTGTTTCCTCAATTTCACAAAAGTTAAAACATGTCTTTGTTACATTAGATGTATGTAAATAATTCTAAATGACCAATACTTCTATACTACAGGAGGCAATGCAGAGATTTTGAGGATCTGGGGAACGAAGGGTGGACGAACTGCAATATTAGGAATGAACTTCGCCCTGTCAATCGGAAGTGTTATTTCACCTCTAGCAACAGCACCATTTCTTGCAGAAACCAGCGAAAATCAGACATCTGCAAATAACACAATACATACTAGTACATTCATCAATCTCACTCTTCATCAGGAAATACAGCCAGTCCAATTTCCTTATCTTATAAATCAGACTATTTTAGATAATGTTTCAATATATTTCAGTGGAGACGGAAATAGTTCATTTGAAACTAACAAAGGTGAATCGAGATCTGAAACTAGGGTTTATATAGCATTTTCTATAACTGCAGTTTTATCGTTTTTAACGGCTCTTTCGTTTGTGACTTTAAATACTTTTTTTAATGAAGCCACCAGCATGAACAGGGAAGAAGTCACATTTGAAAAATCTAGTAAGCAACTGACAAGGCCGTTACCTCAACGTATCAAAATCATTTCATTGTCTATCATAGGAGCAAGTCTCTTCATGTTCAACGCAATCGACGAGGCATTTATAGCCTATTTATCGACGTTCGTAGTCACGTATTTTGATTGGTCAAGTAGCAACGGAGCATTAGTGACGTCACTTTTATTCATTTTCAATCTCACAACTAGACTTGTATGCCTGGTAGTGTCTAGATGGTTAAATAGCTTAGTCTGTGTTGGTGTTCATAGTTGTGCTATGTGTTTGTCGCTATTGGGTTTACTCCTTATCGCCTTATACAGGTTTGAAACAGGTATTTGGATATTTGTACCGTTATTTGGGTACGGAAAATCCATATTATTTGCTCTACTGTTCAGTTGGACTAATGAATACCTTACACCAGTGACGGGTAAAATTTCGTCCGCATTTTTTATTTCTGCAATGGTAGGTAGCTCATTGAATCCGCTCTTACTTGGATATCTCATGGAAAATGTCGCAACGATTTGGTTTAGTTACCTTTTTGCTATAGAGAGTTTTGCACTGGTGTTTCTTTATATTTCAGGTGTTATTATAACTAAGTATATTATTCGTGAGTATGGTTCCGTTGTAAGAATAGAGGAAGAAGAAAATAATACATTTTCAACCAGATTATAGTGCTTCCACAGGATAGCTACATTCTATAAACAATTACTCTTACAGCAAACATGTACAATACTGAGATGATGTCGTCTTACTTTACTTTTATGTGTTCTCCTGACCCTGACCCCCACCCTATAAAGAAGAAAAGAATGGAAAGAAGAAAGAAAATAAAGACTCAAATTAACATTATGTTTTTGCATATAAATGTATGTAGGGATCGGATATACAGCTAGTTCTATTCTTCTTTGTGTTTCAAGATGAGTTTCGAGAGAGTATTTCTAATATTGAATGAGAGATAAAATTAAATCGTTGAAAGCACAGACCGATAGGTACCAAATACATTTTACTAAAGAAATTATTGCACTCACTTCTTGAATGTCGGTCTTGGTTTTTTTTACCGGTGTTTAACATAAAAAAAAAACGACCAAACATCCACATTCTTCTTGGTTTAGGTGTTGATTTTTTTTTTTTTTTTTTTTTTTGCATTACGAAGGTATGATATTTTCCATCCAAGAGTATAGAAGAATATGATACATCAGGTAAAGATAGAACAGTTCTTCACCAAGCTATGCCTACGCCATCCTTCATAGCGTCAGAAGACAAACTTCCGGTTCATAGTGGCCAAAGACAGCCGTCTCCTACAATATTTAGTTCTTCGTCTGAAACTGCACAGCGTCTCTGTACAGTAACTGTTTGTATTTAGCCTAGACACTCCGAGAGAACTTTTGATCTCTAGCAGCAGCTGTATTATGTCGTTTATCTTATCATTAGACTATGGTGTATCTCAACCTAAATCTGAATTGAAATGTGTTAATGAACTCTGTGTCAACTCTGTGTCTTTTTCCCATTCTATAATTTATTATGTTTATTACTAATCATGAGATATGTTCACTGTCAATGTATGTTATTCATCAATGTCTTTTTTTTTTTTTACAATTCCACAGGTATTTGTTCAACATGGTACTATTCATTATTATTCATAATGTAAACGTTGTACATGTATAATGGAAAATAAAATAAGAAATAAACCATGTAGACAGATTCTGAATCAATAGACGAGGGCCGATTGATAAGTTTTGAGCCTCATATTTATAACGGTTTTACTTTTGGCGGACACATTGCATTATTTTTCAACATAATCCCTTTCAGTATCTATAAGCCTTTGCTAACAATGCTTAAGGGCCTCTATGATACTTTTAAAGAAGTCTTTTTCTTGGACGTTAACAAAGTCCTCCACTTCGTGTGAGTATGACGTCATCATCTGACCGATCGTGGGTACCAGAAACGGCCTTTTTCAATTTTGGAAATAGATGAAAGGCGAATCAGGAGGATGCTCAATCAATTCAAAGCCACAATAGTTAATGGCAGCCATGGCAACGATTGAGTTTAATGTTTTCTCTTCCTAAGAAGTGGTGCATAATATGCGCCATTGATTGTTTGTCTCATTTTACAGATAATCTTCCATCAGAATACCATCAGCATCCGTGGAAACTGAGGCTATAATCTTTCCAGCTGATGTTTGGCAGGGGTGAACCAGGGTGTTTTCTTTGTTTAGACTGATGCTTGGCCAATGAGGTGAAATAATGGACCCACGTTTCATCCATAGCCACAAACCTCTGCAGGATCTCTGTCTCTTTAAAATTCAGGTCAGCACGCAACAAAGTCTGCTTGGTGTGCATGTGATCAACTGTCAGAGGTCTGTCAGAATATATTCTTTCCGGTGAAATCCTAACTCTATCTCTCTGTAACTCGCCTGTCAGCAATAACAATATCATGGACTTTGTTGACCATTTTAAGGGTTGCAACAGGCGGTCGTTATCCCCAATGTTCTGCATACCACCTGTTTACTGTATCATATGAAGAGGTATCCGTAGGTGCTAAACCTTTCTAATGTAAAAATCGAATCACATGTTTAGTCCATTTTGCTAGTCACTTGCATGGTTTAGTTTAGAATACTACCATTTCAACATGACCAAATGACACCAGTCTTCGGGTATACAGCCTTGAAAAGTAGAGCTGAAAAACGGCATCCATGCTTAACTTATTCAATACAAGGCTCACAACTTATCAAAAAAAAAAAAAAAAAAACTCGTGCATTATGTATGATGATAAAGTAACCACGTTAATACATTTCTTTCAGTTTATTTCTTAAGTGATATCTCTTTTGTTATGCTACTTATCATGCATTGAAATACCTCCTTTACCTCAATCCTACCACCTCTGGAACGCCTTTTATATCTACGTGGGGAAGCTTCTAGGTACCGGCCGCGGGTCGGTGGTTTTTCTCAAGGCTTGCTAATCCCCCTGTCATCCACCACCAAATCTGACACGTCCTTAAATGACCCTGTCTGTTAATCAGGCATTGGATTACTTTCAGTTGGCATTCATTCGCATTTGAATGCAAACAGAGTTTTGGCAAGTTCAATGAAGAGCGTTAACCCTTCATGTTGAACCTGAATTTATCCACTTGGCATTCATAGTCCATGAATGCCAACTGAGAGCATATCAATACTCACATTTTCTATTTTCGATTTTCGTCTTATGGTATAGGAAGACCGTCTCAATTTGCTTATATTACTTGTATATTCCTATGTTGTTGGCAGTTCATGAGCTGATCATACACAGCTGACTTTGGTAAGGTTACATTGTAACCATGCCTTACAATGGTAAATATTATGACGTCATGAAACAATAAACTAAACCGTGATACAGTTCTATCAGTCTTTATTTTTATTTATTTTGACACACTTATGACGTGTCATGTATATGTGTATTGATCTTGATTCAGTAATCACTTCAAAATAATATATTTTGATTAACACAACGATAAGATAAGTGGTTTTTAAACAATTCCTGATAGAAATGAAAGAAGATCTACCACATAAAAACTATACAGCACATTATTGATAAAACTACGAATAGTCATTATCACGTAGGGTTATGTAATCACAAATAAACTTTAAAATGTTTTTATAGTTGATGTAATTTGTCCTCATTGTCCTTCCTTTTATATCAGAAAGGTATTTTTTATCCTGAATATCTCTATTTTCAGTACTTCCATAATTACATCTTGAGGAAATGTGTACGTAATGAAGCATTTAGTAAATCCGATAAGATCACGAGAGAACCTGCCTAACACCTACCAGCTGTTGACCACTATCACATATCCATATACAACAGGCCCCGGTTGTTCAAAGCTTAATTGGAGTTAACCAGCGGCTGGTGCTTTTTCTCTAAATATGAATTAAACATAATTGGGAATGTGCTTTATAATTTCACAGTAGTAGGTTCATTGAAACCGGTCTGATCGATGTCGTTCTAATTGTAAATTTTGCTTTGAAAGTCGCTGTTTAAGGGATAAGATAGCATTTTTATCTGTAACCACTGGTTAACACTAACCAATCTTTGAGCAACTGGTATAGTTCTGCATTTCATGCTTTAATTAAGTGAAAGCATTGTTCTCGGCAGTAGGTGTTGTTACAAATTCTTTTTAACATTTCGACACGTATTATCCTCGAGATAATCGTTTTGTAAATTGCGCGTCGTTTTTTTTTCTTATTAATATGTGTCAAGGTGAATTTTGATAAATTTGTTAAGATAACCTACATTTCGTGTCCTTTCATACATTATTGTCTTTATCAGTCATTGAGATTGACAATAAACATTACATGAAAACCAGATCTAAATGAAATATACACATCTAGGTTATCGTTTGTACTCCGATACGGCGGGAAGACATTGATAAAATTCTTCGAATTATCACATTTAAAAGATACAGTTAGCGCCTGCCATTTCAGTTTTTAAATTTATCTGTTGTTTATTTTTTTACAATTAACAAACCATTAATCAAACATGCCGATCGGACATAACCGCGGAATTTTTACAGCCACTTACATTCAGTATTTACATAAATTGAGTGAATGATTAGGGCTAGTCTTTGTGTCATTTGTAAACAGTAATGTACTTTATAGTGTATAATGGGGCAATTCTTTTATGTAAATTGCAAACAGATATAACATGTAGCGACAATATAACACTTCCTTGAAAAATATTATTAAATACGAGATGATCTTCTGACGAATCCTTTGAAATAAATGGTTTTCTACCCAATGGACAATTTTAGTTATTGTTACAGTCCATTACGCGTGATCGTGTTAAACACCTTCATTTAGTCCACCTACATAGAGTTGACACCGATTAAGATTTTGTGATCTAGAGCATCTGTCAATAGCTAAAATATCCTTTTATGTAATACATGCAAATGGTTTGTAATAATAATCTCTACACAGTTCTTGGTGGAATATCGCACGTTGTATCCACGGTTTTCCCTATAAGGCTTGCTGGATCGGGTTTAATAATTGTTTAGAGTTCTGTGATCAGAGTTTTTCCAACTTATATTAATCACTCTTGTTGACCCGATGGAAGCGCGCGCGAGGGGTCTTACTGTGGGAGGAAACTGGAACACCCTGAGAAAACCTACGTGGTCGGGCAGGTGACCTATTGCCTTTTCACATCCATTGCTGGAATCGAATCCCGGGTCTGCTAGGTGAAAGGGGAGTGCGTTACCACTGCGCCATCTGGCCACCTGACCACCATATTTGGAGCATATGTCCTTACACACTAATATCATAGACTCATTGTGATTGACCAGAAAGAAGTAAAAGATGTACATTTGATGAATGAATTAAGATTTTTCTATTATTAGAATCTTCATTCTGAAGAAAATAAAGAATGTATTACAATGTCTATCATGATTCTAGGCTTTCTGGTTATTGAAAAGAAGTTGTTAAAAGATGGTGTCAGAAACACCGCACAGAGCATAAGCTCCCTTTGCCATTTGGGTCAGGTTAGCTAAACATAATGGCATGAGCAAATTGCCACACAAAACTGTAGAATTTCCCCAGCACCACCCAGGCTTTAGATGTCTGAAGTAAAATGTTGGGACTTTTGTAAGCTGATTTTTCTCAGATCAAATCCAAACTATTGTGGACTTGAAGATTTTAATATGTTCATAAGAACCATTGCAATCAGTGATAAAATCTTTATTTGTTTCTCAAATGACATTTTGTCTTAATGACATAGAGTCTTGATGAAGTTTGTGTCATAATATGACATGGATTTATGTAATGACAATACTTGTAAGAGCAATTTCAATTACACTGAAGATGGTGGGAGCAATGACTCACATATTTATTATCAATTTGCAAAAAAAAAAAAAAAAAAAAAAAATTTACAATCGAAATCAAAGTGATTTACAAATAAACAATATCAACAAAACTGAATGCTACAAAATTCTGTTTTACTTACTCTCGCTTCAGACTCACACAAATGAAATGTAAATGATAAACATATATGTTTATGTCAGATCAGGACTTAACAATAGCATGTTAATGTCAGATCAGGACTTAACAATATCACAGACATGTCTTGTACAAAATAAATAAAATTTCTCAACTTCTATCGAGGTGTGCATCACATTAAACTGACATATTGCAGTCTTTTCAATTATCAAGCATAACACTTTTAGAATTTCTCAAAGTACAGTAGTATGTGCTCTGTAAACCTTTTTAAATATGTAACTTTCCATTTATATGTAACACAATCCAGCTGACCAGAAATACAATACAACACACCCAGCATTTATAAACCAATGTCAATTAACCATAAAAACATGGTTTTTATTCTATCTTTTTTTTCAAACCTTTTTTAAAGACATTCTAGTTACAAATTATGAGTAATTTTTTTCCCCAATAGTTTCTAAGTGGTATATTTTAAACATGCCACAGTGAATCACTGCTTAATTTTGCAAAAAGTGTTCAACAAAACAACTTATCAATAATGATATCTACACTATTCATCCATGTTTCCACGTATCAATGATATCTTCATTCTTTATCAATGAAAACTGTATCATTTATCTGTGAAATAAACTATTCACTATTTTACTTTCATCAATAAAATTGTGACGGTTCATCAGATTATTCTAAATATCATAAATAAAACAAGACTAAAAGTTTTCCATATTCCGTTTCAAGACTTCCAAGAAATTCATCTGCACCACACATTCAAAACATCTTTCACACCCTCAACAGACATCAAGGTACATCACATATCTTATTTTCTGCTGTCTTTAATGTTTATGTCCAATGCCTTATCCAAGTACATCCCAGAGACCATGGAGTGTAAAACCCTCTCTTAACTTCTCTATGGCCAGTCCTAGCTCCTCGGAGTATACTGGGTCCCGATCCTTGTCCTTGCTACCATCAGCAAAGTAAGCCTGTTCATACCATATCAAGCAAATGTATTAAAAAAAATCTACATAGCTTGCATCTACAAAATGGAAATTAAGCCATAAAGAAATTCAAAACTTGGGAGAACTTTTGTTTTATCATATATCTAGCTCTCATAATCTTAATATAAAACATTAAATGTTAGAATATCGTCATTATTTCCCGATTACAATTTTGGAAAATTGCATGCCAAGTATTCTAGAATAAGTAGGATTTATTATAAATGCAGAACCCGTTTATAACAACTCACAGCAAAAGCGTCAGACGTCCCTTCATTTTCTATCTCAACATCATCCTGTACTCGTTCGACTGTTAAGTCCTGACTGTCCTCAATCTGTAAAAATACAACAATAATAAGGTAATATTTGAAATATTGATTTCATGAAATGTACAGTATCAAATTTGTTAGCACAGGGTTCCATGTCTCATTTCTTTGTGCACATTTTACCTGACAAGACCATATATTTAAACAGTGTTACATGGTTTTCAATGTTCTGAGAGATATACTATGCACACAAAGTACAATCAATGACACTGACATTTCAATCCCACACTTGCCTACATTTTGAATACCTGCTGTTGTAGAAAATTGTCATATGCACATAAAAACATTCTTACCAAATGAAATGACATTCTATCACTTTCATCAGTTCCTGTTTTTTATCCACATTTGATATAACAAACCATACCCTTTCTTCTGTTTCAAACTCTACACCAAAGAGCGGACAAGCACTGTAGACTCTGTGTAGACTCTGAATCTCCTTGACGACCTGCTGTAGTTTCTCAGCAGGGTCTATTCTGAACCCGAGCACAAAGCCACCACTCTGACAAAGACAAGCAATGGGTATATATCAAATGTCTGCAATGGTGATAAATAAAAACATTGAAAAATAATCATCTCTTATGAAAAATTGAAAGGATGATTTGTTAAAGATATGAAAAAGTCAGAATTGTTAGGGCATAGCTTTAGAGGATGAGGAATAACCATTTTAGGCAATATTCAAAAAGATATGGTGTTTTCAAAAACAATTTCTTCACTTAAGAGTTCACTTGGAATATTCATAGAATGTTCTGATGTCATCAATTTCTTTTCCATTTTTTCCAAAATGTCAGTGCACAAATATTATCACAGTTCAAGAAATATTTCACTATTTTACATTTCAAAATCAACAAATTTCCTATATAACTCTGATGATTATCTCTGGTATTTGTCATGATTTTCTCTCTAAATCTCTATAATGCAGGTTCATAATAAAGCATAGTCCTCCTATGCACAATTTTCTAAAACAATGTAAATAACAAATCTGCTGGTTTAACTATAAATTCTAATGTAATTGATCTTGTGAAGTAATTGACAAAGTTTTTTGCATTTTTGCATGGGCATGTATTCTAGAGTTATATAAAATTGGAAAAACCTGAGCTGCAGATACAAAAATATTAATTTTTATATAATATATAATATAAATTGTTATATTTATAGCTGATGTCTGCTTCCACACAAATAAGTTGACAATTTGCTATAGTAATGGTGATCTTGACCTTTGAACCCTGAGGCGTGTTTGTTGTATAAACTTTGATAAAAATTCTCCGAGAAATAAAATTTCAAGATCGATGACATGATTCAGGAGTGGACTGGACAGAAATGCTTCATAATACCGTAAAATCATTCTTTTTCATGGATGTTTTATTTTCTCTGATTTCATAACTGATCTTCATCCACAAATTTATATATCCATGAAAGGATAAACAAATGAAACTGAACATGAATATTAGTACTGGTGGAGTAAGTGACAACAATATGTCCAACAAGTCAAGCGTCAAGTGAAATGCATAAAACCATGAAATTTAAACTCCACGAAAATATCTGATTTTACAGTACAATGTATATATCGATGTCCTTTCTGTACAGACTTTCACCTTCACAGCTACACTATCTTCTTGGACTAAGGATAAACAGCATTCAACCTATCTGGGAAATTTTCATTGATTTAGAAGAATGCATTCAAGACTTAAAAGTTTCTAGCCATTAAATTTTAATTTTCATTACTTTTCACACTTTTGTTGTTACCTGCTGGGAGCTTTCCACAACAAGAGCCAATCCAAATTTAGAGTCTCGGATTTTCACAGATCTCTGAAAAAAATATAACTCATTTATTACATTTGTTAAAGTCTTGTCCTGACATTACGGGAACAAGCCAGAAATCCTTACAGTTTGAATTGATTTGCACCAACAGTTCCAACATTCTTTCATACATACAAATGTACACAATATTTACATCTCCTCTTTGAATGAATTTAACTTGATATCATATAAGAACAATCCAATATTTTCCTTGAATTTGTTGCTTATTCAGTAGAACAGCAAGTCATTTTTTTTCATTTTTTTTAAAACCAAGTCATTTTTTTTCGTTTTTTTTCATTTTTTTTTTTTTTTGTAAGGTGAGTTGGGGGCATTCTACAAATAGGGAAAAGGGTTATACCTATTCTACAAAGTGAAAGTTAACATCTTCATATGATGTTATGAACAGTTTAAAACACAAGAGTACAAACCATCTGGAGATATGGAATGCTGACGTTGAAAGACTCATTGATGTTTGCATGCCAGACTAAACGCACATTGGTTATAAAAAATGTTCCGAGGTTACCCTGTAGTAGAGAAATGAAAAAGTAGAATTAAAATGCAGTTCCTTCCAAGACCCTACTCATTTCACAATAACCAATCCATCGTTAATGTCATCTAATAAGTTCAGGTTGTTATGTGTATTTTTTTATCTTTGCCTCCAACATTAAGTGTTTTTATCTCTATTTATAACCATAAAGTGTAACATAAAATAATGTCATTTGATTGATGGATTCCTAATTTTTTGTGATGTACAACAGACCCTCAATGATACAGTAACATCTATCCTGCTTAAATCGTCAGAATTACACGTTTTCCAGATTGCTGTGTTTAGTCAACCAGCCAATATAACCAGAGTTATCTCCCTTGACTACATGGCAATAAAGTTTTCACTATGTATTTTGAATACAGTTCAGTCAACCAGCCAATCTAACCAGAGTGATCTCCCTTGATTTTATGGAAATGAAGTTATCAGAGTATACTTAGAATACAGGAAATAATAAATGTCTTTCACTGTCTCAGTAAGTTTAACTTCCATTAACAATTGTATAGAAATTGAAATTACTTATGTGAAAGTTGTTGAACTCCAATATCACAGACAATTTTTTGAATGTCTGCTTGATATCAACAATAATGTTTTACTTAAAAATATTTAATAACCCATGCTTTCTTAATATGATATGCACTCCTTACAGTGTATTTACAAGTATTTTGACACAATTCAGATGCTAATTCCCCAGAGAAAAAGACAATTTTCTTGTCGTCTTGAACTTTTTCATTTCTACAATCAAGTGAATTAAGTGAAGTGACTGCATAATGAGCACATATATATGTAAAGTGCATATGGCAGATTCATTGATTTGAAAGCAATAAAACACAGTACTTTAAAAACTGCAAATACCTTGATTTTCCCTCTCAATTCACATTCAAGTATATCAATTGACTGATAACATGGAATCCTGTGCCATGTTTTTCTACGTTAAATATGCAGAAGTATTGCAGGACGATAATGTCATCAAAATATTACTTCTATATTCCTATGATATGTATAAAGAATAAATAATGTATAGCTGAAATATTACTTTCAAAAGTTCATTCCATTCCCAAAAAGTATTTCCAGACTGGTAAGTACAATTAATGTTACTGAAATCTGTTCCCCAAAAATTAAGCCCGATTTGTGAGTTTTCTGAACTATCAGTATCCACATTAACATGGGTCCACTCAAATGGTGTTTCATGTTTTGTACATCATTGCAAAATTGTGTTACTACAGTATTTTGATAAAGGAGCAGACTGTGTTGAAAATTTTACTAAAAAACATTTGTCCATACTGTTGCTGATACTTCAATGATGATACACATCTGTAAAGTCTGATGTATACAGGTTTCATATTCCAGAGGTTAAATCTACATAAACATGAGAAATCTAACTTAACTGACATGTCTAGTTTAAACAAGTTTCCAGATTATAAAGGTTAAACTTATAATCATATTTTGACTATATATATAAATGATATGGTCCTAGTGCAAGGCCTAGTCATGACAGATCCCTGATTAAATAGGATTAATTTACATACAAATCTATAATGTGTATCTTAAATGGAAAGTCAACTATACACAAGATTTCATCTGATCAACCGGGTTTTTTAAATACATATAAGATTTTATAGAAAATGGCACCACGTTAAGTAGGTCATTAGATAGATTTAAACCTAGTACCAAAGAACATGTTCCACTTTAGAGTCTGACCTGATCACTTGATAAATTCCACACTCCATTCACGTTGTTGTATATCTGTTCCTGTGGCAGAAGTCTGAGCTGTTTGTTGTGGACAAGAGCACCTCGTAGCTTCAGATCTCTGTATAACTTGGATGTGTCGTAAGCCCTGATGCAAATATATGGTGGATATATAATGTACAGCTGTACATGTAAAAAAATTTTGTCTGAATATACTCTATCTTTATATACTAAAATGTAGAATTAATTGCATGCACCTGTTACTCATTTGACAGCAATTTAGATTTAATTTAATTAAATTGATAGTGAAACATAAAATTGGAAACATGCAAAGAAACAAACCAGGCTAATTTGAAAATGGAATGAATTATTGGTTTCAATGACCTGCCATTTTACAGGGAATGGGTGATGCCTATACGACTCAGTTATATCTTGAATACATATCATCTCTGTATTGACTTTACTTCTTTGAGAACTTCGATCAAAACTGATACACAAGATATATCAAATCCATGTGTTTGTGTTTCAAAATTCCAAGGTCAATGTCACACTTTCCTAGTATGTACAGAATTTCTTAAACAAGAATGGGCATTGGAGTAAAGGAACTCTGTTGCCGATTTTTAGAATTTGTAACTTATATGTGTTCCAGATAAATTTATCTCCGTCAAGGGCTGACATTCTGTAACAAAATCTCATTTGAAAGATAGCCGAAGATGAGATGTTGCAGAATGTCATCCAGATATTGTGATAAATCAATGCTTAATGTATACAAACAACATATTCTTTTTATCCTATTATATTGTGTCATATAATTTAATTTCCAAATTAATTTGGTTACCTACCTTTGCTGTTATAAATCAGAAAGGCAGTTGGATATATAACCTCATTTGAACATCACCTGGCACCTAATATCACATAAAGGTACCAAAAAGATCAGACAAGACACTGGGTGGCTTTTAAGATTTCCCTGCCTAATGTACGAGAAATTTTATTCGTTCATCCAAAGGCACTGATCAGCTTAACAGACAGTACTGAAGTAGTATATGTAAAATGTTTGAACAACATTAAGTTGATAGTAGTGATGTAGCATATGCTAGACTACTGCAAATATTACACACTTACCTGTGTACTGCAATAACAGTTGTAAACAGACGTGGAGAGCCAGGAATCTGTGGACATTATTAAAAGGGTCAGCAAACACTGAGACACAATGTACTCTGGGCACACACTATGTGAGATTTTATAACTGTATGTGTGCAATATCAGACAAAGATACATGGATAGTAAGTATGTTCAATCCCTGAAGACCATTGAACCAAACGAAATTTCGAGATTTCCTTCCCCATGGTGTCGTTTGCTTAATAAATCATTTATATGACATTTTGATTAAACAGGAAAATCCTTCATTACTCCATTAAAACCCATTGTAAGTGGTAAAGAGTCAGAAATGTATAGAAGATTGTATAATTGTATTAAGATTTGAATAATTACTCTTATAATTCTCTCATTTAAAATCTAAACATCAGATTTGAATTGCTTACAGTTCAGGCCAAACAAAAAATATTTCCTGTTTCCAGTAAACCTACCTTCGTTGATATTTTGTTCCTAAAAAACAATTTTCAAATGCCCATTGTTTCAGTCAAGAACTCTCTCATATAAACGTACCATGATTTGCCTACCTACCTGCCTACCTTCCCAATTCTTTTTTAAACATGTTACAAGAAACTCAAGAAATTTTTGTCTGGTCTCATCTGTAGAAAAAGAAACTTACTAAATTTGTGAAGATGAATTCAAATCGGGTAGTATTGCACTTTGTCAGAACATACAAAGCCTCAGTGGTCCCTCTTAATTTCTGAAACAAAATCAATATATAAATTAGTTTTGTGAAATAATTATTCAAAGAGCAGCAGAGACTTCTGAATAAAAGTATTGCAATTTCCCTCTAACTTTACATACAAAATCAATGCTGCCAATATGTATATACAGCAGAAAATATTTTTGTTAGGTTATTACAGCTATAAATGGTTTTACTACCTCAAAAAGATTTTCAATAAGAAATCTTTTCCATAATCTAATTGATCTAATTTTTCTTTGGGTTCACAGATTTCTTAGTAACTGATTTTGTTTTTACATTTTTATATTAAAAAATTGATCAAAGTCTTTCTGTGCAATTTATTCACAGTAGCAAAGTAAATGCCTTAACATCTTATTTTAGAGGATAGTATCTTCTTTAAAAGTAAATAGATTTTATAACTTACTGATTGGGCGGTCTTTGTTGAAATGTTTATAACACAGTTAAATCCAATAGCTGAAATGAAACAAACATGGTGTCATATCAAACCAATTTCCTTTTTCAAAATATATGATAATACAATGTACACATTTATATTGATTATTCTGAAAAGTTTAGTTTCTTCCAATGGTTCAACTTATTGCAGTTTTACCAAACAATTTTTCAGGAAACGGATTATCTACCTTTGGGATTTCATTTTATTCTCACAAAGAAGGGTGAAAAATAAAACCCCTTCAAATTTAGAGTCCTCACAACCTGTACAGCAGTTTGGGACCTTGTATTTTTAATTTTTTAATCCTTTAACAGTTCCAGATGAGAAACATTGGATTAATTGTGTGGTGATTACATTGGACTGTCCTACTGTCTCCCATGCAATAATTTGAGTGGTAATGTTTGAACAAATTTTAAATAGATAAACGACAATGAAGACTTTAGACAAAACCTTTGGTTCTATAAAGTGTAAACTTATTCAATATAATCTCATGATATATAACAAAATGTAAGGCGATTTACCGACTACACAAATTAAAATCAATGTTCATAATACAAGAAATGCTTGCTAGATTTTCAACAGCACAAAATAATTTGAAAAATATCACTATATTGAGAAAAATACAAAAGCTTAGAAACTTTTCATGTTCTGCATCAAAATGATAAAGGCAAAGACTTTCTACACCAGAAAACAGGCCTTACTTCAATAACTGGTACAGTTAACCAAACATGAATTGATTCGAAAAAAAAAAGCATATATTGAGAGAGTGTGATACTCAATGGTACTTACTTAAGCTGACTTGAGGTTTGATGAGTGAGTACCAAACAGTCTTCAGTGATACTTATACATAAGTTGATTTCTGGTATGGTGAGCAAGTGCCAAATGATCTTCAGTGATACTTACATCAGTTGACTCATCAAGACATGTCACAAGTACCTAATGATCCTCAGTGGTACTTACCGGCACATAAATCTACTCTGGACATGTTGAGTGAGTACCTAATGATCCTCAGTGGTACTTACCGGCACATAAATCTACTCGGGACATGTTGAGCGAGTGCAAAATGATCTTCAGTGGTACTTACAATAAGTTGATTCATCAAGACATGTTGAGAGAGTGCCAAATGATCTTCAGTGGTACTTACATAAGTTGACTCGAGGCATGTTGAGTGAGTGCCAAATTATCCTCAGGTTTGTTACCATAATACGTCCTAAAAAAAAATACTCAAATGATGATATATAGCTTCCGTCCCTGAGCTAAATATTACATGCAGCTACAATGTACAAACAAGCATTTACATACAGTTATATTGTACTAACAAACAAATATTATCACATTATGCACAGCTATATTGTTTGCGTACCTCGATCTCCATTATTGCCTTTTGTGTCTTCTACAGCATCCAACCTGTCAATCATCTTCTCCCCTGGACGCATCCTCATTTGTCTTTGAAATAAAACATAAGTCATTTTCATCTTTATTAATCCAACACCAGATGTACAGTGTAAATTGGAAACCACAAATGAAGTTTACCACCATTTCTGCCAGCACTATTGGCTAGAACACAGGAATGGGTTTATGCATGTGTAGCTCAGTGCATATTTATTGATATCATATCATAAATTCTGTCAAAAGTTAATGTTGTTAATATGTGTTTTGGAGCAGTGCACTGTGCTTCCATTTTGAGGTGATGTCATAATCACCAACTCAGTACCTTTATGTTGTTTCTGTTTTTGTTTGTTTACAGATCAACATCACAACTAGACAGGTTATTCTAGGGCACAATAAGTACAATCCTCATTAGCCTTTCCAAATGTATAAATAGCTTCCTGTATAAATGTGTATACAGTGATGTCCACACACCTATCACATTCTGTTATTTCACTATACATTTTTTGCATTTTAAACCTTTTTCAATGAATTTTACTGACTTTGTTCATTGACCATATTTAATGAAATTTTGTACACTTATTGAGAATTCTTTTCTGTTTCATCTCATATTATTTTCATTGTTTTCTATTGTGTATTACCAGGGAAATGGTAATTTATTTGCAATATATGATTTTCAGGGTGCCTTTTTGATGTCATTTTGGTACGCGTATATATAGGAAACATGGAAATTAGCAGTGTTGATAATTACTCCTGAAATAAACAACAGAAGATTAAATGAATATTATGTGAAGAAACTATGGACATTATTGTACAAAATAAGTAAATATTGTCAAAATCAATCCCCTCAATTTGAAAAAATATAAAGAATATCTCATTGCATAAAAAACGTGAAAAACATACGACACCTCACTGTGTATAAATTGTCATCTGTGAAAAACATTGCAAGGGCAAGGACAATGGAGATCTGATTTAATATCTTTTCATACTTATGAACATATTTTCAGCAGAAGATAACAAAAAGCAAACATCTGAGGTGAACTTATATGTGTAATTGTATCATATTTGGGAGAATATTTAATACCAAAATGTGTTTGAAGAAAAAGTGCTGCATTCTGTCAACAAAAAAACAATGGTGATTTTCTATCAGAAAAAAAAATTCGCAGCATTTCAATCCTTGCGTCTTGCGTCAAATATTGCGGCAATTAAAACATTTGAATATAAGAACACACGGGTTAATAGTTAATGCGATGCAATTGGACAAACTGAGTACTCCGAAACCCATACCGCTCTGAATCAAATATCCAGATATTTCACACGTGAAACCAACAAAAGTTTTCCAGTAGTCTATTTATGTGCAATTTATCGATATAAACCTTTGAAATGACACACTATTCACATTGAAAATTCCCCATAAAAGCCAAATATACACAACAGTAACATACGATGGGTTGACGTCGAATCTGACATCTCGGTCTTCCCACAGATCTTCCATCTTGATGCTTTAGAATTCCTAAGGACCGATGTCATCTAGACGCTTAAATAGCTCTACTTGTTTAAACGCATAGAAGACTAAAATATAACAAAATATTGAGCTGAAATTGATTGAATAGTTACGTTTTCCGTATTTTTTTTTCAATAAATATCGTATTTTGTTATATTGATTGTATTTACGTTGTATTCATATTTTTACTGTACTGCGTTTTTACGAGATTTGCCAAATCCAATATGGCGGCCTCCATGTGAACGTTTGGCTGCGTCTACAAATAAGAAGTGAGATAGGTTTTATCTTTAGCATTGATAGCGACGTGTCTCTGACATCAGGTATTACACATTTTTAAAAATGGAAGTCTCAGACGATAGACGCGACAGAAAACGCGAAAGGTCAAGATCCAGAGAAAGGAAACCAAAGCGTGCGAGATCACGAAGTAGAGAAAGGTAATTACACTTACAGTTATATAGACTGAAGACTAAATACATGTGCCGACAACAAGTTTTAAAATATGCGATAGAGCCAGTAGACACTATGTATCGTTTCAAAAGTGTCGTTTTATATGTCTTTCTTAAACTTACGTAAATGTTGACCCTTTGAATTAAGGCGGTAATTGAGTAATATATGTGAAATAACTATGTCGATTACTACAGTGTCACCCAATCTCTTGTCAAATAGCTGTTCATACACTGGTTCATGGGTTGTACATTATGAGTGTCATAGGAGGAATAAGTGCATTGGGACATTTTTAGCGCCAAACAGCTCATTAATCAAGATATTTTTATAATTTATTTTTGTATTATATACACTTTACACCATTGTCTAGCAACATGCAAAAATTGTTCAGATTAACCTACAGGAAAGTAATATGAAATAGGCACTGCCTAAAAGTGAGCTCAAGTTGGTCAGCAAGATGTACATTTTAAACAGCCTGATCCATGTCTGCACTGAAGCGTGTTTTTAAAATTGTATATTTCTCAAGATTTTAACAAAACATCTGCACATACAAATGTACCAATATATCATCATCATCATCAACATCGTCATCAACACATCTTCTTCTTGTTGATCTTCTAGAAAACAAGGTATCAACATGATCAGGCGATGATTAACACACTTGTCTTTCATCTAGCTGTTCGGGGTTCAATTCAAATCATTCCATATAAAATATTGAAATTGATAACTTCTGCTAGAGTACTAGCTTGATGCCTGTACAAAGTTTTGAGTAACAGTAATTACCTTGAATGGTTTAAGAGAACTGGTCTGGAAAAACTGAACTTTGTGATTTGGCCTATCAGTTTTCACGGTAATAGAGAAAGTATTTAAATGGCGAACTTCCCCCTAGCAAAAGATACCACCAGCCTAATAAGTGTAAAAGTTTTGAGCATTGGCCCAGAAAAACTGAAATTTGTGATGAGGGTCATCGGTTTCAATGGTAACAGCAAATGCATTAATAAAGTCTTTGACAACATATCTAGACTAAAAAATTGATAAAAAAAGTCTTCAAAATAAATGTACAAGAGTTTCCCTTTCAGAGTTACAGATATTGCAGAGAGCACTATATATCAACTTTGACTTAAAAAGGAGTTTGTAGTCAAAATATTGTGAAAGACAACATAGTTTTAGTTCTCATTATTCAGGGCTCTTGATCTGCCAGATTTGGGGCCGAATATCGGCCCCATTCCCAATGCAAAAACGTATCTTCCCAATTCTAAGGAAAACGCTGTTATTAACAACAGAATGTTCTCTACCACCGTTTACTTTTCTCTTTGTTATTGAAGTTTCGTTCTGTTAATTAATAATTAACAAATCATGAAATGCTTTCAAGCCTTCAGTTTTTAAGCAATGTTGACTTGTCTTGATAGCAAAAAGAGGATAAAGTTATAAACACTGTTTAGACTATTGTGTTATACATTGTAATTCAGAAAATCAATATAAATATATGAAATTCAAAAGTCACAATATATTACATCAATTGTATTTTTCTGGAAAAAAAAACAACCACTAAAAGTTATCTTATCATCGTGCCTTATACGTGTCTGCTGGAAAATTTCTAAGCATTCATATACTTGATCATAATTAATTTCAAACAGTTATCGAAAGAATATCCACATCTTGCAGAATTATTATAGTTAGGAGACAGGACAGTTTTTTCGCCAAGTTGGTACCTTTCGGCTGCTTTCGTGTATGAGACAGATGTCTTACGGAAAGTGACGAAAGTTCCCGAATGTTAAACCGGAAGTCAGGTACATCGGTGCATAATCGTGCTCATATTTTGAATGGTTAAAATTGTAATATTTCAACGAGATATTCGTTATGTGCGTTTAAAACCATTGAAGTATATATTTGTTAAATCCATTTGAATTATTTAAGACTTTTAGTATGATTTCATTTCCACATGAGAGCTTGAAACAATATTTTGTCGGTCAAAATCATTTTAAACCATTCAACGGGTTGGCAGTTCTTGTTGCGTGTTGCGGTAAGTGAATTCTGGGTAATGAAGTTCCAGCCACACTTCCGTTTAAAGTAGATCATATGGGCAGTTTGTTGGAGTTTAATAACCACACACACAATACCATAAAGCGCTCGCTATTAAAATACACTGTTGAAGTTATATTAACATGTACACATGACAATGCAGTACACTTAACTGCTATAGGGGAGTGTAATAGGAATGAGTATCATGGGATATATTTAGCACCCAGCAGTTTATGTATTATATACTTTACACCAATACACTGACCACTGTATATGATACAAAAATAATTATGAAAAAATTTCAACAAATGAAATGCAGGTTGTGCGAAAACCTTGCAGGACACTCACTCCTACATGGTAGTTCAGTATAGTGTTAGTGTCAGAAGGATTTTTTGCTAATTTGCAAGTTTTTCTTAATTTCAGTGTAGTCCAAAGGGCTAAGTTCTGACCACATTGTCAGAATGCTGGCCCATGCAGTGTTTTTTTTTAACTTAGTTAAAACATAGTGATGGTTTTTATATATGAGCTGTTAAATTTCTATTAGCTGCAGCAACCCAATGGAAAGAGTGAGGATCATTGCCTAGTAGTAGACCCAACACCACTACCTAAATCAAGGATTGATTGCATCGTTCCCTATATCCCTGGATAGACATTGTTTGTATATATTACTTGTTATTCAGGGCGATTGAAAAATAGGGACACACTAAGAGTCAATCATTACAAGCTCAGGATAATAAATACAAGGTGATCCAACACTCCTCATGTGGAATTTTGCAGTAGCGCCCTCAGGTGGATCCGTAAAGGATTCAGTAGAATTCCTTAACAGAGTCCTAATAATGGCTGACACATGTAGACATATTCCACAAAACATCGTTGTACTGTTGAGTTTCCCTTCTGCTTTGTTATGTAAGCTTGGGATAAGTAATTTTTTTCTTTATTACTTGGAAACATCTACCAATGAATTGGTAAGTGATGAAAAATCATTCCTGACATTTTTCTTTCAAATATGGTAGTCATATTTGTGTATATATAATGAATAGATTCTAGGTAGTTCTGAAGTAGTCTGAATAATTCAGACCAGGAGCATGATACTCTATAGGCCTTTGTATATCAGTCTGATGCTCAGTGATGTCCTATTTGGTTTTATAGGAAGCGATCAAGAAGTCGTGACAGAGGTAGACACAGAAGCAGGAGCAGAGAGAGAAGGAGCAGGAGTCGGGATCGCAGCAAACGAAAACACAAAGAAAGCAAGGACAACAAAAAAGACTCAAAGTAGGCATACATATTCTGCTGTATATTAACAATATTTTAAAGATTTGTCTTCTGTTACGATTTACCAGAATATAGTAATATTCTGTTCATACCAACCATTCATCTTTTATCATGTTGATAATCTTCTGCTACTCAGCAAATATGAATTCATTTCAATAATAAATGCAAGCAGACCTAGTAATCACAAAGTAATCAGGAGTGCTTCCTCGTTACCAGATTCAGCTGGACGACATCTATTTTGAATTTTTGTTTCAAGGCAGATTTATGAAATGTGTTTACATTTCAATAATTGTCACAATACACTCCTATGATTTAATAATAATTTGGAAAGAATTACTCCTGTACTTTCACTCCTTAACCGTTGTGAAGTTTTGAACTGTTTGTAACGGATCATTCTTAATCTGGTCTCCAGAAAAGAAAATGGTTAGATTGTATTAAAATGTAAAGTAAGGTAAAGATGACTCTGTTTAGAATTACCTACAATAGATTTTTTTGCTAAGTATGCCAGGTACATCTTATCAGTCGTACTCTATATAAAGTTGAAAATTGATAAATCTTAAAGAAAGACTGTATAAATGGAAGGGCAAGGATTCATCATACAGTCTAACTGGAGTATCTCTCTGAAACAACCACTAACTACATGTACACAAAGTCATACGTTTTGTATGATCTACACATGTTTTGTATGATCTACATACATTTTGTATGATCTACACATGTTTTATATGATCTACATACATTTTGTATGATCTACACATGTTTTGTATGATCTACATACGTTTTGTATGATCTACACATGTTTTGTATGATCTACACTCATTTTGTATGATCTACACACATTTTGTATGATCTACACATATTTTGTATGATCTACATATGTTTTGTATGATCTACACACGTTTCTTATGATCTACATGTTTTGTATGATCTACACATGTTTTGTATGATCTACACATGTTTGGTATGATCTACACACATTTTGTATGATCTACACACATTTTGTATGATCTACACATGTTTTGTATGATCTACATATGTTTGGTATGATCACACATTTTGTATGATCTAAACACATTTTGTATGATCTACACATGTTTTGTATGATCTACACATGTTTTGTATGATCTACACACATTTTGTATGATCTACACATGTTTTGTATGATCTACACATGTTTTGTATGATCTACACACATTTTGTATGATCTACACATGTTTGGTATGATCTACACATGTTTTGTATGATCTACACACATTTTGTATGATCTACACATGTTTTGTATGATCTACATATGTTTTGTATGATCTACACACATTTTGTATGATCTACACATGTTTGGTACGATCTACATACATTTTGTATTATCTACATACATTTTGTATGATCTACACATGTTTTGTATGATCTACATACATTTTGTATGATCTACACACATTTTGTATGATCTATACACATTTTGTATGATCTACACACATTTTGTATGATCTACACATGTTTGGTATGATCTTCATACATTTTGTATGATCTACACATGTTTGGTATGATCTACATACATTTTGTATGATCTACACATGTTTTGTATGATCTACATACATTTTGTATGATCTACACACGTTTTGTATGATCTACAAAAGTTTTGTATGATCTACACAAGTTTTGTATGATCTACACACGTTTTGTATGATCTACACATGTTTTGTATGATTTACACACGTTTTGTATGATCTACACATGTTTTGTATGATTTACACACGTTTTGTATGATCTATGTTATCCACCAATGGCCAAGTAATCCCATCTCATTGTTAACAAAGAAACTTCTTATTCCATTAGAGATTCATTAAAGAAAGAGAAAGAAAAAGAAGCAAAGAAAGTTGTGCCATTATCATTAGAAGAACTTCTTGCTAAGAAGAAAGCTGAAGAGGAAGCTCTAAGCAAGGTATTTCATCATTCAATTTTATGAAAAAAATTATATATGTGTGTGTGTGTGTATGTTATGTTTTCACTGAATGAAGGGGGTGGGGATATACAGATGTATACCATATTTATAGTCCTCCTCCTCTGAAAAAAAGATAAATGAATTATAAATATTGATTTGCAAGTTATTTCAAATATTTGTTCAATTGTAAGTGTTAATTTGTTTACAAATTCAGCCCAAGTTTCTAACAAAGGAAGAGAGAGCAGCTGAAGCACTAAAGAGAAGACAGGAACAAGTGGATTTACAGAGGAAAAAACTGGAGGAAGAAAGACAAAAGCAGAAGGAGTTTTTATCAGCAGGCAAAGATTCTTATGGTAATCATATTACACCTTTATAGTATGTCTCGCCTGGTTCAAAGGTACCAAATACTTTATATGGAGAAATTTGATGAAATTAATCACCACTGCTGTATGTAATGGTTCAATATTTATATGAGAAAGAGGCTGCACATGAAGCAGATTAATTTGGAGGGACATTTTTTAAATCCCGTTTTTGAATTTAATTCCTTTGGATATTCAGAGCTTATCTATCCATTGATAAACACAGTTTAGTCTTAGCCAGTGTTTGGCTGTCTTAACTGTGTGATCTGTATCTTTACTAAGGTGATCGTTACGATCGAGACCGAGAAAGAGAGAGAGAACGTGAACGAAGAGAGAGACAACGAGAAAGGGAAAGGCAAGAACGGGAACGTGACCGTCGTGGTGAGTCAGGACGGGGAGAGGATACAGGTGAACGCGTGAAGGTCTTAGAGGGCAAGGATAAGGAGAAGGAGACTGAGGCTATTAAGGTAGGTAAATGGACAGGAGAAAAGAGAAAAGAAGATGTTAGCTTTATATTTGAAGACAAGAAAAGTTCATATTTAGATTCACCATAGTTTCTGTGGAAAAAAACGATTTCTGAAATAACATGACAACGTTGCGGAAGAAGTTGACAACTCATAAAGAAATTGTACTTGACTTGCTGTCTTACAGGAACGATACCTGGGAATAATCAAGAAAAAACGTCGCGTACGTCGCCTGAATGACAGGAAGTTCGTGTTTGACTGGGATGCAGGAGACGATACATCTCAGGATTATAACCCAATCTACAAGGACAAGCATTCAATACAATTTTTTGGTCGTGGCCAGGTGGGAGGTATTGATATGAAGGTATGATATATTTAGAATTCACAATATTTACCATTTCTGTAAATTTTTTTGTGCACCTCTCACGTTATCTATCACTTTTTTCATGAGAAGAATTCACAATATTTACCTTTTCTGTCAGTTTTTGTGTTTGCCTGTCACGTTTCCTATCACTTTTTGCATCTGTGTTTTAATTCTTTATAATAATTTACTATAAAATAGTTATTTGATTTCACTGAGATAACTGTTAAAGGTTAAGTGAGTTTTTTTTGTGAAATTTGTGCAAATTGTTTAATTTTAATAATTAACTCAAGATTTGAAAAATTTTCTGTTCATGTACTCTCAAACCTGTCTGTAAAAGCCACTCAGGCGGGCATAATTAATAATGGTGGCTCACATAGGCAGGTGATCTTGATATAGAGGTTCAATGACTTTGAATTTTATAACATCAGGAACCAAAAATCAGTGATTTTTATAAACAGGTTTGACAGAGATTTGTCTATCATCTATATCCTATCTCAAAATACATTGTGTCCTGATTTTCACTTCGAAATTTATTGTTTTGTTTACAATATGCATTGTTTATGTTGTCATTCATGAAATTAGCCATAAATATTCTCAGTCTATAATGCTAATTACAAAATTTACAATGATTTGTTTCCTTCCAACATTGTGATGTTTACTTTTATGAACATGAACCAGACTATAAAGATTTACTGACTTTTGAAAGTTTTAAAAGTTTTTTGAGGAACTTTTCAAGGTTGTTGATCTAGGCAGTTAAATCTAAATTTTGTTTAACTTTGTTTTAGTGAAATATCTTCTTTTTCTTGTGTCACAGCAACAAAAAATTGACCAGTCAAAGTTCTATGGGGACCTTTTAGAAAAAAGAAGGACTGATGCTGAAAAGGAACAAGAGAAGTAAGGCTGATTGTTATCTATTTATCATAACATTATATTGATCTGTCAATGTTGATTTGAGTCCTGATTATCATCATAATAAATGTCATTTACTTACCAGGGCTCTCGATCTGCCAGATTTGGGGCCGATATTCGGGCCCATTCCCAATGCAAAATAGTATCTTTTTTCCCAATCTAGACCCAAAGTTTTCCCAATTCTAAGGAAAACACCATTATTTTTCCCAATTCTAAGGGCCCAGGGCCCCAGTCCCAAAATAGGGTGTGAGAGCCCTGCTTACAATGTATATATGAGATAGGGGACAAAGTAACTTTTTATTTCAAGTAAAAGATGAGGTGTTGCGTGTGATCTAAACTCCTTCGGGTCAATTAATTCCAACCTCTGTATGGTATAATGGCTTTGTTTGGAATTAAAGATCATAGTTAAAGGTCAACTTAGTTGAAATGGAAATTCATTTTTGTCCATTCAACAATTTGAATTCTCATGTGACAAACAATCTTAGCCTAGACAGCATGTGATTTCTGGATACGACTTGAACTCATTTTATTGCATAGATAATACATTCCTTTCTGTGAAACTTGTTTATGTGTCAGCTGATTAAATATACATGTAAAGGAGAATTGTGACCTTTACTACCACACAGCATTTAGACTCATAATATGCTAGGGAAAAACAGTAAGATTAATACATGTCATTTTATCATCAAATCAAATTTCAGGAAGAGGATAAAGAATGTTGCTAAAAAAGAAGCGAAACAGAAATGGGACGACAGGCACTGGATGGAGAAATCATTAACGGAGATGGCGGAAAGAGATTGGCGAATATTTAAAGAGGATTACAATATCTCTTGTAAAGGTGGGCGTATTCCTAACCCAATCAGGAAGTGGAAAGAGTCCTCACTGCCAACAGAACTCCTAGATGTCATTGATAAAATTGGATACAAGGTATGATTTTGTTGCTTGAAAAAATTTTGTAAAACTTACATGAACATATCAGTAGTTTTGTTTTCCTGTCAATATGTTAGTAATATTCATTTGCTAACAAGTTGTTTTTTATTTATGTTTTTTTTTTGTCCTAATTTTCTGTACTTGTGTCTAAAATGTATGATATATTTGGGGTACTATATAAACTTATCTATTTTACTATTGTGAAACAAGCTATCAGCTTACCAGGTATAGTAATCACTTTTGTTGGCCTGGCTGGAAGTGAGTGTGAGGTCTTACTGTGGGACTAAATCAGAGCACTCCAGAGAAAACCTACACAGTGGGGTAGATGATCCACATACCTTCTCCTGTCTGCTTTGGGAAATGAACCTCAAACACCCAGGTGCAAGTCAGGTGTATTATCATTGCGCCACTTGACCAGACTATTAAACAGGCATCAAATAAAATAGATGGAAACCCCAATGTTTGATGCAAATACAGAACAGAATATACATATATCTACATTTGATACTCAAAGATTTTCATAAAACATTCAAACAAATTACCTTATTATACACATCATTTGAACAACGCTAAGTTCAACTGAACAGTTCTATTATGCAGGAAGCATATGGTGACGACACTGGCTTTGTTAACATAATAGTTCCTGAAGTAAATTAATATTGGTGTTATCAGTGATAATGAATCAATGATAGTTTACAATTGGCTTCTTGTGATTAAAAAACCTACAATTGTAATTCATATCCTCTCACATTTAAAACCATGTTTATGTATGTGTTTAAGAAAACATTGCATATTTACATACAACAAATGTAGTTTCAAATCTCTATAATCTTGTGCAAGCCCAATCTTCCTGCTTAATATTGATACATGAAAACAGTGGGCTATTCCACTTAACCATATATCCCACCCCAGGACTCCAATTTACACGGAACAGATAAGCAGGGACCGAATCATTAATAGAAGTGATATCTTTTGGAGTCATGGAGATATTTTACTGAAAGAGCCTTTGGGTCATCTAGAGGCTGCTACACAAGTGTCAATACATAGTATTTAATGGTTTTCAATGGTCAGATACTGAAAGGGTTATTCATGATAGGGTTATTTTTGGTAGGGTTATTCTTGAAAGAGTTATTTTTGGTAGGGTTATTATCAGGTATTTATAAAGCTGAAACCACATGATGAAGTTTGGGAAAGGAAAAAAACATGTGTTCATGGGTAAATTTTTTAAATGAGGACTTATTTTTATCTTTTGTCCTTTCACATATGTTCAAAGAATGGGGGCCACATTGCCAGAATGATTTAGGCATCTGACTGTCTTTGTCACTTGCCCTCCACCTCTGGGTCATGGGTTCTAGGTAAGGCCTAAATGGGGCAGTCGCCAGGTACTGGTCACAGCTCTAGCTTTCCTCCACCACCCAATACTGGCATATCCTTAATTGACCCTGGCTGTTAATAGGACGTAAAGCAACAAAGAAACTAAATCAAAGAATGAAAATGCACAGAAGTTTTTTTTCATTTTTTTTTATTTTGAAATTACTAATTTCATCTTTATCACAGGAACCTACACCAATTCAGAGACAAGCCATTCCCATTGGTCTGCAGAACCGTGACATCATTGGCATTGCTGAAACTGGTAGTGGTAAAACTGCTGCCTTCCTCATTCCTCTACTCAAGTGGATTCAGTCACTTCCAAAAATAGTCAGGTAAATCATAATCGAGTAAATTTGAGGTCAGGTTAATTTTAGTTAGATCAATTATAGGTCAGATAAATTATAATGTAATAGGTCATCATGGTCAGGTAAAGTATAGTGTGATCTTGTGTCAGGTAAATTATAATCAAGTAAGTATAGGTCAGGTAGATTGTAATCAGGTAAATTATAGGTCAGGTAGATTGTAATCAGGTCAATTATAGGTCAGGTAGATTGTAATCAGGTCAATTATAGGTCAGGTAGATTGTAATCAGGTCAATTATAGGTCAGGTGTATTGTAATCAGGTAAATGATAGGTCAACCACATTATACCTGCTACATTGAATAACACTTTATCCGTTACATGATCTATTTGTAGGATGGAGGAGGCTGACCAAGGTCCCTATGCTATTATTTTGGCTCCCACTCGTGAACTGGCCCAGCAGATTGAAGAGGAAACTATGAAGTTTAGTGTGAACTTGGGTTTCCGCACTGTAGCCATAATAGGAGGTATTTCAAGGGAAGAGCAAGGGTTCAAGCTCCGACAGGGATGCGAGGTACGTAACAATGATGGCTAGTTAGAGAAACAGGGATGTGAAATAGTTAACAATGAACGCTGGTTAGAAGTGACAGGGATGTGAGGTAGGTAACAATGATCGCTGGTTAGAAATGACAGGGATGTGAGGTGGGTTACAATGAATGCTGGTTAGAAATGACAGGGATGTGAGGTGGGTTACAATGAACGCTGGTTAGAAATGACGGGGATGTGAGGTAGGTAACAATGATCGCTGGTTAGAAATGACGGGGATGTGAGGTGGGTTACACTGAACGCTGGTTAGAAATGACGGGGATGTGAGGTAGGTAGCAATGATAGTTGGTTAGAAATGACAGGGATGGGAGGTAGGTAGCAATGATAGCTAGTTAGAAATGACAGGGATGGGAGGTAGGTAACAATGATAGCTAGTTAGAAATGACAGGGATGCGAGGTATGTAACAATGATGGCTAGTTAGAGAAACAGGGATGTGAGGTAGGTTACAATGGTCGCTGGTTAGAAATGACAGGGATTTGAGGTAGGTTACAATGGTCGCTGGTTAGAAATGACAAGGATGTGAGGTAGGTAACAATGATCACTAGTTAGAAATGACAGGGATGTGAGGTAGGTTACAATGATCGCTGGTTAGAAATGACAGGGATGTGAGGTAGGTAACAATGGTCACTGGTTAGAAATGACAGGGATGCGAAGTAGGTTACAATGGACGCTGGTTAGAAAGGAATTACAAACATTACATCCCTTTCCCTCAAGTTTAGATCAACAAACAGACAATGTCAAAGAGGATAGTAAAGGAGAGACATCCGAGAACATCAAAATGTGATGGCGACATGACAATAAACAAAGAACAACAAGAGAGTAAGATTTGTGTCAACTCACTTTATCTTTTTCATCAATACTTCTCAGCATAGTATCAACATTTTTCCCAGTTCTCTTATGGTTGCATTGGCAACCAGAGGTGGAAGAAGCAAGAATGTTTGAACTTTGTTGATTTTTTGCCCGAACCATTCACTGACTGACTATGTGAGAAATGTCTTTCCTTGTTGTTGCATTGTTAAAAACTTAACTTGAATCTGTGCATGCAGAAAAGCTTGTACTACACTCATTCACACTTTTGATATGGACTCTGTGACTTAGTTATACTTGTATCTTTGTAGATTGTTATAGCCACCCCTGGGCGTCTGATCGACGTGTTAGAGAATCGGTACCTTGTTCTCAATCAGTGTACCTACGTAGTTATGGATGAAGCTGATCGTATGATTGACATGGGTTTCGAGCCTGATGTACAACGCATCCTCGAGTACCTACCCGTCACAAACATGAAGCCTGACACAGAGGATGCAGAAGATGATGAGAAAATGTTAGAGAACTTCAACACTACCAAAAAATACAGACAGGTATAGTACAACAGAGTACCTCAATATGATGCACCTTATGTTTATTTGTAAACTTACCTGTGGGGGGATGGCCCAATAGGTTAAATAAAAGTCCTATAAGATATCTTTAAGATATTAGAGACACTAAGAAGAAAATATGTTGCCTTGACATTTGAATTAGTATAAAGGAAAATATGTAAAAGATTATAACCTGTAAGAACGGTAAGGAAACGTAATTTTATTTTTACTTCTGTTTTGCAGACAGTCATGTTTACAGCCACCATGCCTCCGCCTGTTGAACGGCTAGCCCGTACCTACCTGCGAAGACCAGCTGTCGTGTACATCGGATCTGCAGGCCGTCCCACAGAGAGAACGGAACAGGTCATTCACATGGTTACCAGTAACCTGAAGAGAAAGAAGTTACTTACCATCCTGGAACAGGGCATCGATCCTCCTATCATCATCTTTGTCAACCAGAAAAAGGGTGCAGATGTCTTGGCAAAGTCTCTGGAGAAGATGGGTGTAAGATACTACATATACAATTCTTTACCAGGTGTATGGGGCTTTACATAACCCCTGACTCAAAGAAGTTGAGATGGGCTTATCAAAAACATTTTTCTTGATGAAGTCTGTCAGTTACAGTGTTAAGTTTTTACATCGGCTCCATTTTATTTCATCAATTGCAGATAACAGAAGTTGTATTTGTCTTGTTCTGTCTTTAGTTCATTTTGTTGTAGCTTTACAGTTCTGAACAGGTTTTTTATCAAATTTCATCAAAAATTATGTAAATTGTATTAAAAGGTCATGTGTTGGTTGATATTGCACCAGTATTAGATTCAAAGTTGAGTTAAAATGTTGTCAGCAGACTTAGTGTCAACACTCTGGCATAAAGGTCGGAGGTCATATATGAGAATATCTGGGATGAGTTTGACTTCAGATTGTCAAGATCAAGGTTACCTGAAAATAAACACAAGGGCCACTTTTGTGCAAACCGAATAAAACAGTTAAGGTGGTCTGGAATTATTCCACTGTACTCAAATGCACATGTACAGGATATTAAACCTGATATATGTGAAGTTAAAAATGAACACTTTCCGAATTTCCTGTCAGGCATATAACAACTAACTTAAATTAAGATACCACCCATTTCATTCATACTTAACAGCAAAATGTTTTGGGAAACATCAAGTGCACTGTCCCTACTTTTTATGCTGAAATTCTGAAAACTAATGGTATTTAGCAGTTAAGTTTCAGCTTGCATGTGTAAATTATTCCTCAGTCCAGCCTCAGTCCCGATCTCTACCTGGCATTTTTCTTGCTTGTTCAACCGGTCAAAACATTTCAATTACTCATGCAAAAACGATCTATGACACTAATTTGAACGGCAGCAGTTTGTCTCATACAAAGTAGATAATGTTAAGTTTTAGGTCTGCCACCTATAAGGTTGTCAAGCCTTATTTTTTTGGAGGGGGGGGGGGTGGGGAATAAAATTGTAATGACACATTCAAGAGATTGTCCAGTTAATGTCCCTTGGTTTGTACTAACTTGCTCTTCACTTTTCTCAAATAAACACTTAATGCTTATTTAGTGGGGAATTACATACCATGTTTTTCTTGTCAAGAGATTGTCCAGTTAATGTCCCTTGGTTTGTACTAACTTGCTCTTCACTTTTCTCAAATAAACACTTAATGCTTATTTAGTGGGGAATTACATACCATGTTTTTCTTGTCTTTCACAGTACAGTGCTATCACACTCCATGGAGGAAAAGGTCAGGAACAGAGAGAGTTCGCTCTATCTAGTTTGAAGAATGGGACTAAGGATATCCTTGTGGCCACAAATGTGGCAGGTCGTGGTATAGACATCAAAGACGTTTCTATGGTGATCAATTATGACATGACCAAGAGTATAGAAGGTAAGGGCCCTGGTGACATGAAATTATCACTGATACTGACTAAGAATTTAATAAATAAAGGGTTTGTTCTGTATAACAGTAAGCAGATCCCCTACTTTCCCCTATTTTCAGTAGGCAGAGCCCCTAGAATTATACATGTATCTGAGATAAATGGTGGTACATTAATTAAGTAAAACTAATAAAGTCCATTCAAGTAACTGATTCAGGTCTTAATAGAAAAAATCTTAGTGGTCGGATACAACCATGGATAGCACTGCACTCAGCTTAGAGGACCGCGGTTTGATTCCCAAATCATAGAAAAAAAGGTTTCTTGCTCTGCTTTTTTTTCACCCTTTTCATCCATAAACAGGGAGGGCTATTTGAGGCGAAAATTCTTCATGCTTATATAACCCTTTTATGTAATATTCCGAGTGTGAAATGAACAAAAGACAAATTTTTGTATAATGGTACAAGGGCAAAAATGAATTTGGATGAAAATGTTTGGACCCCAAGGTATAATTGTAAATGAGAATCTTTAATGAAACTTTATTTAACAAGATTGTGAATAATGTTTTCCCAAGTTATATTCATCACTCTTGTTAGCCCTGATGGATGCCCTCAAGGTGTCTCTTACTGTGGAAGGAAACCAGACTACCTAGTGAATTCTCACATGGTCAGGCAGGTTACCCCATACCTATTCATGTCCGTTCTGGAAATTGAACCCCAGACATCTAGGTGAATGACACATGTGCTACCACAGCGCCACCTTACGGCCTTTGTAAATAAGAGTATAACATGTTCTTAGATTTTGTTTTCTGCTTTTTCCAGATTACACACATCGTATTGGTAGAACTGGTCGTGCTGGCAAGAATGGTATAGCCGTGACCTTCTTGACTCAGGAAGATTCTCCAGTATTCTACGACCTGAAACAGACTATCTTAGCTAGTCCTATCTCCACATGTCCACCAGAACTAGCTAACCATCCAGAAGCCCAACACAAACCTGGCACTGTTGTACAGAAAAAACGCAAGGACGAGACCATATTTCTCACTTAAGCTCCATTGAATGGTTCTTGATTAGGGACTTCATACAAAAATTTATAAGGAATATGAAAAGTGAAAAAAATACATCTGGAACATTTAAAGTCATTTTTCAGATGTGAAAATGCAGACATTTTATGGCATTTCATGGCAAAGTTTAAAATAATGATCCATGAGGAAATATATGACGTCTACTGGCAGAGATTACTTAGAAAATTAATTTCTCTACCTGGTGGTGACTTTTATACACAACATAACAACATGTATGTTTCTGTGGACCAATACAAGCACATGGTACCATATGGTACACATTTATAAACAGAAAGGAGTACAGCTCCTGATCTAGTGTGATTGTTTAATGTTGTGGATGCTGATTTCTGATCAGTAAAGACACAGTGCACTGTAAACGCTACTGTGTAGTAAATGTCTTAAAACACTCCTCAGCAGTTTTGTTCTTTTTAACTATAATTAAGTTCACTGCCTCTTTATGAAGATCATGTGTCTACAGATTATTAGATCCTGATTATGACTGATTTAAAACTACACTTCCTGTCTAATATCACCTTATCTATTATTCCACCTACTCAAGTGATGTTTTCATTTAAGTGATGGCGTGTCTATTCGGACCACGTGTTTATACCGATCACCTATCTATACAATTTTATATACAGATCACCTGCCTATTCTGACCACTAATTCATACAGATTACCTGTCTATTCTAACCACTAATTCATACAGATCACCTGTCTATTCAGACCACTTATTTATACAAAACACTTGTTCTTGCTGATCATACAAATCAGTTCAAAAATATTTTAAAATTGAACTTTAGCCAACGACCTTCACATTTATTCAGGTGACTTGTCATTAGCAGTAGGTTTTGTTCATTGTTTTTGGTCATAACAAATCAAAAAAAAATATTTTGTAAATGACTGTTTATAGTAATCACCACCTTCAGCTAAACTAACTAAAAACAAACTACTGTTTATAGTAATCACCACCTTCAGCTAAACTAACTAAAAACAAACTACTGTTTATAGTAATCACCACCTTCAGCTGAAGATGAAGTGACTTGACTTCATGGTAATGATCATGTGTTGTTGATATTTACGTCTAGATGATGAAGATAACATGGTACATTGTAAGTTTACAATTTCATCATTATTTTAATATATTGCCTTGATGTGCTTAAAAAATTTGACTTCTTTTAACTCGAGTTGGAGGTTACAGTGACCTAATTTCATGCAATGAAAACCATCTTTGGGTGTTACAGTTTTTCTAAATTCCCTAAAGATATCTTTGACAGTTCAATAGTGATGGCCCAGACAAGAATGTACTGGAAATTTTGCATATTTATTGATCTTTGTAATCATGAGATGAGAGACAAAGCGACCTAATTTCAGTGCACTGAACAGTGTTTATTGGTAACATGATATCTCTAATGGCCTATACAAGATTGTATTGAAAAATTGGCAAGAACCATGATGTAATGTCTCCATTTAATCTACAGACGTGTCATTGTCCAGTTGCTTATGCACACTCTGCGTGAGAGTCAGGATCATGGGTTACAGACAATGCTGACATGTACCAAGGTGTCTATATTTCTAACAAAATTACATGTTTCCCTGTATGTGTCAATATGCAATGAAGAAAAAACAAACATAATCCCTATAGTAGGAGTTTATTAGTAATTTGAATTCATTGACAAAATTACAGTAATTACTTCTATTCTATTGACAAAACACATTAAAAATTACTTCTAACCTATGGACAAAACACAATACAAAATATTCAATACTTTCTTTTCACACAAACAATTTATATGGGGTTGGAAGGCTTTCACCCTTTTTAAAATAGAAAATTATATGTTTAGTAACAAAAGTCAAAAAGGAAACACACTATCAAACAACTAATATTTCCTCACATCAATGGTAATTGTTTAATTTTTTTCTTTAATAATTATCTAGATACACATACATGATGAAACAGGAGCTCTATTGGGTCTCAGATTGGCCCATAAATAATAAAAAAAAAATTTCTAGAACTTATTTGTAAATTAACTTTCAGCTATTATTGGTTTGATCAGCATTTTTGTGTTATATCAAAGATGACCGACATTTTAACAGTAATTACATTTGTTTGAAGAGTATGAGATAATTGTATGTGGTCTGGTCGGAGACATTCTTATGATGATGTTTGGAATTTGTGCACGTCACGTCAAATGAAAATGTTTCCCCACAAGTAATATAAACTGTTGAATCATATGATGAAAACAAAATTGAAAAATATTGATGTGAAATTTATAATGACTTAAGAAAAATTTATAAAAATACAACAGAAAAACTACTGTAATACAAGCATGTAATGAATATATTTCAAAATGTCTGTTTTATTATTTGCATGTCTGGTTGAATACATATGCAAGATAAAACATCAAATTTGAAACACAAAAAGTTTTAAAAAGGCAATGCCTTTGTCATACCAAGTCGCTATAAAAAAACTCTTTTCTCTTTGCCAACAGACTAGATATATATATATGGTTATGATAAATAAAAAACACTCTTTGGTAAAGTTTATTATTATTAAACATTTGATGATTAAAAACAATCACTGTTATCCAATAGAGAACTCCCAAAAGGTACAGTTCTTTCACCTTCACCTTCATCTCTAATAAATTATATAAACGTTAACTATTCTGATTATCATTTGCAAAAAAAAAAAAAAAAAAATTGGCACAGGTCTATAAGGATTTCTATAACTTAAGAGGGAAAACGTGTGGAATAAATAAGCTATTTTAGACAGAGATTCTTAGACTAGGTCAAGGGGCAAGATCATCATTAATGCTTGTACGGAGTTACAATCACTTTCACAATCTGCACCACTGGTACATTTCCTGGCAAAATTGAAGGCACCAATAAAGTAATTTAATTGGTCTAGAGCAGATTTCAGGGGGGAAAAAACTGACCAATCACAGACTGATATGCTCCTCTGAAAATTACAAAGGAATGACGCATAACTTCAAAGCCAGTACAACATAACGACATGTGACCTCAAGATCCGTTTGATGTACATAGGATCAAACCATCAATTTAGATATGAAACGTTCTTGTGGTGAAGAAAGCGATAGTGATCCTAATCTCTCGAAGTATGGAGAATGCAGCCAGTTTATATGCTGTTTATCCCATTCAGCTGTAGAGTTTGTATACAAAGCTACATTTTAACCAATAATTTTGTTCATATAATTATACCATTATCTACAATCCTATTCAGAATTTGAAGACTACAATTACTATTTTCAAACAATAAACCGATGCATGGTAATAATACCATCCATTTATGTTGTTGTTTAGTACAGTCTCTCCAACAATACAATCAACAATACTCCCATTACGTGGCTTTGGCCACAGCCGCTGTGTTGACTCCATGTTAGTTAAACAAAACCAAAATGTCCATGAACTCCAGGACCCTTATTCATTCAGTGTTATTGCTTGGTATATGAATTCCACAGTTTGTAAGTTTTTCTATGGCACTTTTTACTACATCTTCAACTGTACCACTAGCATCTACTTCTATAAGGCTCGGATTCTCCATTCGGCGATAGGAATCACACAATCTGAGGAAAGAAGAAAGTGAAGACAAAAGTGAATATATCACTCATTACATTACATTTTTTCTCAACATCCCACCCCAAAATTTCAAAGTTTAGGATTGAAGGTTCTGTCCCACCTCAAAACTTTAAAGTTCTAGGGTTAAAGTTTTGTCCCACCTCAAGGTTTGGAACAGTCTCGATGTCAGTAAGTAAACATTCAACACCCCACCTTTTTGGCTCTAAGACCATAAAACTTCTAAGATTGATATTATCGCAATTTCATTTCACGTAATATACCATGTTTTGAGCTTACTTTAATATTTTTGGGAAAGTATATATGTTCTATGTGATTTTTGGTGGTAGGAATTAATTTCATCATGTATTTCTACAAAACTATAAAGACACTTCTTGTTGACTCCTGAAAATCTGCTTTCCTGGTGGCTAATTTTCTTTACGAAACAAGACAATAAGGCATTGTTGGAACTCAATATCCTGACACAGAATTCAGGAGCAGTTTACTATTGCAGTACATTCAGATATAAACAATTGTTTCATATTTGTTGAATTCTTGTTAAAATTCATTGTTATTCTAATGACTTAAAAAACACTGATCTGACAGTTTACCTGAATTTGTTGATTGATTAATTAAATAACACCTGTTAATGACCATTCTTATTGAATGAGTCCTATGATATTTTATCAGAATGGTTTAATCTGTACAGAAATTATCTAGTACGCTCTAGATGTTAAACCCAAACCAGTTGCTGTCAGGTAAAATAAATCCCATCAGCCGATTCCAAGTCACTAGTTATATCTACATTGGCCCCCTGGGCTTATTACAGGAAAAATAATCTACAATGCAGTATCATACAACTTTGTTTCCTGAATGTTGTAAGTTAGTATGCACCTTGGTTTGGACAACTTCCCATCATAATGATACATTTTGGTCTAAATCACCCACTTAGGATTTATTTTAAAATCTACCTTTGCCTGAACAGCTGGTCTTTGTCCAGACTTTGCTCCTCGAATGTTTTCTCTATGCCACGTCCCTGGAGTCTTTGTTTTCGGATCTCTTCTCCAACAGTCAGGAAGAGTCCTGCTGTTGGTTTGAGAAGATCAGTTGGCCATTGGTATACTGGATGACCACGTTCAGGCTGATCACCTGTGCTGCTCTCGTTAGCGATACCATATGCTGCTGTACTGTGCCAATATCTGTATGCAAAAATGATTATTAGCACTAGTGGAAATATAATGCATTGCCAGCAATCCCATGTCTGGTGTTTCAGCAACAATACACACTACTTATACAGATATGTTGGCTCACTGGACATATTTACAGATATCTATAAAATGATTGGTTAAACAGAAGCAAAAATCAGTTCTGTAAATTTTGTCTATACATTTCATAATTTATTTTTTCGGGACAAGGTCACAGGTCCAGGTGATGATCTATACCATAACACTATTAGGAAAGCTGAAAACATCTTGTGTTTATTTAGTAAATAAGGTTAGAACATTAACCTGCATGTACATGACCTCTGATGAAGATGCAAGGTTCGTGGTATGATGCTTCCTACCCATAGTAGTTTGTGTTTCTCAACACACAAAGAACAGACTGATCTGTGCTGATGTGGTTGTGTCCTTGAGCAACATACTTTAGGCCAGACAAACAGATATATGTTTCTTGTAACATGTTTGAAAAATTTAGGGTAGGTAAGTAGAAAAATAAGTTTATAAGGAGAGTGATCTTGACTTCAACAGTTCTTTTTTTTGTAAATTGCCATAAAATGGTTTAGCGTATGCACAAAATGTCGAGTTAAGAGGGTTATAGGAAACAACAATTATTTTTTGTTTTTTTTGTCTTGCCTCAATTGCTCTGGACAGTGTGCAACCAGCTATTACAAGGAAAGGAGCCTAAAAATGACCCTGGCCATTCACAGAGCAATGAACCCAGCACACAAATATAATTAGCCTAAACAAAAAACATTTATAACGAAACAAAGAGTCCAATGCACAGTAATAATACCTAATGTTGATTGGAGTTCCTTTTAAATATACTGTACTGTACCTTTTTCTCCTTCAATGTCCAACATTCAGACCTGTAAAATATCAAGTTACAATCAGGGCTCTCTCACCCCATTTTGGGACATTGGCCCTTTGAAAAATAATGGTGTTTTCCTTAGAATTGGGAAAACTTGGGGTCTAAATTGGGAAAAAAAGATACTATTTTGCATTGGGAATCGGCCCCAAATCTGGCAGATCGAGAGCCCTGACAATATTAATCATATTCACAGATGCATAACAATGATATTACCTGTCCATGATAACTGCATGTTCCTTGCATTCTTTAGAAATCTCCATGGCGACAATGTAGTTACCAATACTATAATATGCTCTACGCACTAGCTCTGGCAAACGGTCGAAGACTTTACGGAGTTCTTCAATTGGTGGAGGAGGTGTGTAAAGACGTACTGCTGATAGTCTGTCTCCTAGAATCTTAGTCAGAGTTGTCTTTCCTTACAAATTAAACAAACTGTGATATCAGATGTATGCCTTAACCAAGATTTCAATCTGAGTACCAGTATTATCATTGTTTCTAGACATAACAACTATATCAAATATCATGTTAAATAAAACACTGGAATCCTTATCAATTAGACAATTACTAATCTAGGAGTAAGTTTTAGAGTACACCCACAATTCTCTTATACCAGAAGCTAGAAAATCATCCAACACATTTTTATTAATCTTCACTTTCTTCAATTCAAGAGCTCTACTAGTATTCGCTACCTAACTATTTCTGTCTGACCATAACAAGAATAAAATATTTTTGAAAATAAAATTATCTTACTCTTTTCCTTGACAAACTACACCAATGCATTTATTATGTTAAATCAACAGTTCAGGACTTTTCCAGAGAGGTTCCTTTTTGATAATTATATTACAACCTATAGGGATACTTGTGGAAGGGGCAAAGAGGTCCTGAGTCCATAAAAACTTGAATTGACCCCTCCATTATTCATTTCTTTTAAATTTTATATAAAATGACCCAAAGGGGTCAAGGAGTCAAGGGGCAGGGGTGAAATAAGTAAAAGAAATGTGGTCATCTCTAAAAATCTTCTTTTCTATAAGTAGTATAGAGCAATGGAAAATTTACCCGTAATCATCAGGAACATCTCTTATTTCTAATATTTATATGAAATGTAAATATATTTTCCTTACACTATGAAATTGATGAATACATCATACGTTCTAGGTGAGTTTTCTAAAAAAAAAAAAAAAAAAGGAGAAAACAAGAGACAGAGAAACATGGTCATTATTTTGACCTCAAGCCTTCTTCAATGGGGGAACAGCACAGGCCCTCTGGGCCTCTTGTTTATAACATTGACCTTAGATTCCTAAAGATGGCCCATTACTCTCAGCTCATATGATTTTCTCTGTCATTGTGTGATCATCGACATTGTTTCATCATTACACAGTATTTACCTGTGGCATCCATGCCTTCTACCACAATGAAAGGATGCTTCATGTTGTCCTGAAGCTGCTGGACATTCAAGTCCTGAGGAACCAAACGGTCAGCAATAGCCAAGAGTTCTGCAACCTCTGGAACATCATCTGTCTGCAACCAAAATTAGAAAAAAAAGCTTTCATGCAAGCTGTGGAACATCTGATTCATTGTACAGATTCACACTCATTTGGGATTAAAATAAAGGGAAAACAAAAGCACTGTTTCTCATTCTTCTGGCTAGTAAAGTAGGCACACATCCATAAACCATAAAACTCAGGGGTCTGGAAAAATGTTTTAAACCACTAGGCACAAGACTGGTGGGATGAAAAATTTACTCATCCGGATTGGAAATTTACTCGTCCAAATTCAGCTATGAAATGGCGACTTAATGAGGATGTGACATGTGACTTTTTTCTATTTTTATTTTAAGTTTTAGTGAAAAAACTATGTAGTGATGGCTGCTTTGCATCAGACATTGTGCTCGACTTAGGCCTAGTCGTAGTGTTTCTTTACGTCCGACTGCCTAGGTGCTGTTAAGAACGAGAGCACCTGACATCAGTATGACCGCAGGAAAATGACGGAGATATTCCTAATGCCATATTTGACGTCATGGGAGTTCCGGTGTAATCGAAAGTATGAATGCAGACTGGAATATGTTTTGTTTTCGAAGTGCCATAAACATGTTTCTTTGTTTTAAATTTTCTTTACATTTTTATTGAAATTAAAGTTATAACATTAATATCATTGGAAAAAAGTACTCGTCCAATGGACTGACAAAGATAAATCTGGTTGTCAGAGACAATTTTCACTCGTCCATGACAACCAGAGGAGTGCTTTTCCAGACCCCTTTAAAACAAAAAAAATCTTCTTTTCCATTTTGATAACCATTTAATGTAACAAAATGCTTTTGACCATATTAAAAAACTGATGACCTTATCAGTACAAAATAAAATTTTATGCAGAACCATCCCCGCTTTTGATTTTGAATGATCAGCTATTTACCAAAGCAATTTGACTGTCAATATTTTGAAGTTTCAACCTTTTTACTTCAAATAAAACAATTAGGATTTCTCCTATATTTTTCCACTTTTTTTTCATTTGTGGAGTCATTTTTTTCCCAGAGTACTGTAACTACAAGAACCTGCCTTATCTATTAATATATTCAATCTGTTGCGCATTAATTAACAGGCAATGCTACATGTGTATGGCCCTGCCAATCTGTCTCAAAAGGGGTCATGTGTACTATGTTTACTGTGCTCCCTATGCCCAAGGAATTCTTTGGACATTATTTAGACAAAGTTCAATTTTTTAATTCCAATTTACAGAAGAAATATTTAAAAGAATTTACCACATGTATATTTCACTATATTGTGGCCTTGCCCTTCCTGCTACAGGGAAAAAGGACCATCAGTTTATAAATATGACATTGATTTTCCTCTACCCATGCAAGGAAGATTAAAACCAAAAGAATCTATGCATTCCTACAGAAAAAGATGGATTTTGAAGAATTTGCTGTTTCCCCTATTTTTTGGCCTTCTCTCTTCAACCCTTCAGGCCAAGTGAGTTAAACCAAAAATAAAAGTCACAAATGTTTTCTGGGAAAATGTCATGATGTTATTACTAACCGATTATAATCATAATACATTAATGTATTCCGTTTTCTACTAAAATGTGATTCATTTATGCAAATTCTAAATCAGTTAAGAATATCCACTCATTATTTTATATGATGATGCATTGTGGTTCAAGTGCATCCTCACCAATCCAAGGATAATGAGAGGATGCTTTGTTCTAGTATGTACATTTCTATATCCTCGCAACTCCAAGGATGTTACAAACTTGGTTCATAATGTATTCACATACATTAGCTCAATACTATATGTACCTGTTGCAGAATAAATCTGGTTCTTGCATAATTATGGAAAACAGGTGTAAATTCTGGTACAGAAAAAAAGGCAGATTGTTTCTGACTTTCCAGCACACCATACTCTGACTCATCAACAATGTCCTCGTTTGAAACATCATGTTCAGTTCTTTTAAGTTGCCCTTTCCTGTTATTGATGAATCGAAAATAGTTACTAATCTTATGTTCTTTAAGGACACGTTTAATTTTTGATAGGATGTCGTCACCTTCCTCCCTGAAGTACACACACAGACCTCGTTCTACATCCTCAGATCTGGATGTGTAACAAAGAGAACATCCACCTGGAAAATCGGGAAGATCGCGTATTACTCTTTGTGATATTATTCCAGTCTTGATGTATTTCATCAGCCTGTCTTCGTCTGACACTTGAGGGTGAATCACCAGGATCGTATTGTATCCACAATCACCGCTGATAATGTCACTAGCATCACTAAGGCCTGTAGCACAATCGTCCGGTCTCGTGCAATTTAGATTTAGCTTCGACAGATACGTCGGTTTGTCTGGAAACGCAATGTACGTAAATTCACCATGGTGTTCCGCTGGATACGACATATTACCAAGTTTTACTAAATTATCTGGTATGAGCGATGTTCTTATCCTCCTACCACATTTAGGCGCGTGTTTTAAAATAGACACACATAACGCGCCAAGCATGTTCTACTTTCGTATTGTCATTTGCTTTCGATTTAAAACGAGGCTTACAGCTACCTTGTAAAATAAAACTGTGAAGCGGGTCGAAAATCCGGATTGATGTGAAGAGATTTGAAATGCGCGTCCTTCAATAACTTCACATATGCATTTCATTTGTGGTATGACGTCATGAAAAACGCAGCACGTGCGAATCGCACTTTACAAAATATCATGTAAACGCGCTTTCTACACCTGTACAAATGAGTACGCCGATTGGTCACGTGTTTTTTTTTCGTGACGGCATTTGATCTTCGTATAACATCGGTTTGTATTTTCAATTTGTACCCACTACAATTTTTTGTTTCGATATCCCCACAAAGTGTTAACAGATACAGCTCAGTCGTTATGCCGTTTTGATCTTATCTTTAAATAGTTACCAAATGGAGGTTATCTCAGAATTTTTCAAAATTTCGTAAATTTGCCAAATGATGCGTATATTGGGGATTAATAAGAAACAGACTTAATTCGCCAAAGTCAAGGGTCAAATAAGTACTAGTCATTCTTTTCTGGACCGTGACTTCTTCACCATAACAGATATCACGTTAAAATCAAAACATGCATCAACATGGACGGGGCGGTGTACACTGAAATTAGATCACTGTGGCCTTCACATCAAGGACATAACATAAGATGTATTGATAAACTTGTAAGTAACCCGATTATATATTTCACTTTTGCTCGGTTCACTATTAGCACGCTATTAGCCATCTGCTCTCCCAAAATTATTCCCCTTTGTACCACTCTATCAATAAAGCTGAAGACCCGATGGACGCCGAGAATGATTGTAAACATACGAGATAAAATTTATGTTTACTTAACCGATATTAAGCCGGCCTTTTGTTCTCATGCGGATACACTATGTTTGTTTTATCGTATTTAGGTAAGTCAAACTCACCTGATACTGACTCAGATTCATTAAGATAAGACTCTATGTCCAGCTGTGCAACTCGTGGGTGTACAATTTATCCGTTAAACATCATCTTCAACACATTTAAAACATATTCTCGAAACATTATTCTAAAAATTCATAGTGTTCCTTTCTTTTTATAGATATAATTTTTTCATGTCAGGTAATAAACCTTTGTATCTCGTGTAGTCCCTTATATTCACAGCTTTAAAATTATCTATATTTTTCTCTCTGTTTATGTCGGACGGGTAAGATACTGGTTGATAAACCCTGTGATAACAAAGTATCCTATAAATAAATAAGTTGATATATATGTGTCAAACCAAAGGAAATTGCGATAAATTTTAAGTGGTATATCTGGAAACATAAAACATATGTTCTGTAGAGCTATTTTTACGTCAAAGGTTAAGAAAGAAAACGTGACATGAAAGGAACACGAAAGCACTATTATAAATTGTAAGTTATGTTTCCTAAAAATGATAACTTGTTTATATAAAGGTACGAGTCGTTAATATTGATTGGTTTGTGATAAATGAGTGCAACCATTTCTTAATCAGAAAAGTGTATGAGCCAGTGATACTGAAACAATTAATTGATTATGAAGTGAAACAACTACAACCAATTCCTCGATTAACTGTGAATAAATCCGTAAATATTCAAAGGTATTGTCATTCGTGTGTCTTTGGAACAATCTATTACAGTATATTTACACAGTGATAAATTAAGATGGTACCACACGGGCACAGCATTGATAACATCGCAAACTACAGAGCATAGTCCCGTGGGTTTCCGACGATGCCTTGATAAAGAATCACGTGATACTTACTTCTGTATCACGCGCATATTTAGTAATACTTAACCGGCTGATTTCAGCCGTTCCACTTTGTCGCGAGTTTGTCTCGCGGTCGCTTTTGGCGCCCCCGCCAACGCGACAAAGCGAATTTGCCGAAATCAATCATCATATAAAACATTCAGTCATTTTTTTTTCTCTCATTTCGGCTAAAAAGATTAATTTAATGTAATTAAATCTAACGAAGCCTCGTTTCAAATGTCAATAATTATGTTTTGATATTACATCATAAATTGTAGGTCACGTTAGAAGTAAATATTTTATCGCACCTTAATTGGATAATCCGGATCGTGTGATAAGAAAGATCTCTTAAACTTTTTTCATTATATATGTTATTTATGTAACCGGTTCGTAAATCATACATACCAAACGGAAACTTTATATAGGTTCTTATACAACTTAAAGGCATCAAGGGAGTGTCTTCACGCTTTGTCATTGTAAAAGATCTTTATTGGTCCTTTGTAAGTTGTCTATCATCCATCACTGACAAAATATTAACTGTCGAAATCCAAGATGGCCACCGGTCGACAATCCTTGTTTCGCCAATCAGTCGACACGAGGTACGTGTATGCAGGGACGTATATATCATATTATGATTAATATATACGTCCCTGGTGTATGCATTGTCAGTATAAAACGTTCCCAGTCCTTCTTGGGTTATAAAGTAAAGGCCTCACGTGGTCAGATACATTGTTAAGAACAGTGTCTAATAACATCACGTTCCTGTGCATTAACTTTATGGTTTACTTTGAAATATGTTTATCATCACGCGCTCATTAGCGAAAAAAACCAGATACATTTCCGTAGGCTTAAATCAGAGCTTTGTCATCTTTTTTACAACTTGAAACCAGGATGGTGCGTGCACCGGTTCGAAATATCTCTTGTTTCTGTGTATGAAAACGTTCACATGCAAGCTAATGTCCGGTGTACTCGTGTTCTGATAAATTTCTATGCAATTCGCAATTACCAAGAACGTGATAATTCAGTACATTGTGTACTTACGATACAAACTTGACACAAGGATGTGTGCAGCGGTCCGTGGAAAACCCCCGTACCGCGTCACCGTTCTAATCTAGGTAACAGTTTTAATCACATGACCACACGTAAGGACTACACATACATGAAACGTTCTATAAATATTGATTCTCGAAGCCGCTGTGTGCTGTGATCGTTGTGGTATTGGACACAGGTGTGGAATCACTTTCTGAGGATGGATTTATTAAAAGATCTCAACAATCCGGAACTTACAGCAAGATTTCAACAGTTTTGTGGAGTGCATTATTCGAGGTTCGAGAGTAGGTGTGGCAATGGGGACACTACAGTTCGTTCGGGCGGAACATTCAAACACGTTGATTTGTCAGCTTGCTCAGCTAAGCAGACGACATCCGATAATAATAATGCAATTTGTGGCGGACTGCAGAAAAGAACGCAAGACAAAGTGTCAAACGACGAAGATGAATGGGAAAAATCTAGTGACCCTCCTGTGACAGACATTTCGAAATACACCATAAAACACAGATTACTGCTTCATTTTTTTACGATAGCATCTTCTCTTGGAAACGAGGCTTTTTATTTGATGTTTTATCCATGTTGTATGTGGAATTGTGATTCGCTGTTAATTCGCCAAACTGCTCTCGTTTGGTGTTTGTGCATGTGGCTGGGTCAAGGCATCAAAGATTATCTGATGTGGCCCCGACCCTCTGCCCCACCTGTGGTACGTCTGGAGACCTACTATTTACAAGAGTTTGCGATGCCGTCCACTCACGCCATGTCCGCTACAGCCATACCTGTCGTCTTGGCTATCCTCATTATCTCCCGGTACCAGGTGAGAACATCACAAGAATTATAATAGACCCATTTGTAATTAAACAATTTTACTAAACTTGAAAAATATAACACATGCCCAAATACAATGATTCACAGGTATTTAATATGATTTAAACCAAAGCAGAAATAACAAACTTTTTTTTAAAATCCTGTACTGTATCATAAATAGAAAATAAAACAGATATGGCCTCGCATGACCCGTCCTTTACCTCCGCATCATTTCAGCAAGATGTAAAATTTATTCTACTCCACAACCAATGTCTCATATATATGTTTAAATGTATTCCTACATGTGTACCACCTCTTATCAGTCATTTTTGATACTACCAACATTATACTTTAACACTGAGCCCCTCTTTGGTACATTATCTATAACAAGCACTGTCCACATACGTTACAATTGATGAAAATTGTTTATCCGAGGTATGCAGAAAATCAGGTCAGACAGGTAGATTTACCTGTACTACACCTGAACATAGCTCGTTCTTGCCAGATCTGAGGCTAGATAGAGAATATCTGCTGAACTATTGATATGGCTACAAGACTGACGGCTGTAACACAATCCCTTCTTACCTGAGCAAACAACTCAGGAATTCAAGTGTTAAGTTGTCATATCATCATTTCCTTATGAAATACAGGTTTACTAGTTAATATATCAATAATACGTTTTTCATTTATAACATCCCTGTAATATAGATATCATACTTTCTGGGAATATTTTGTTTAAATATTCAACAATATTACACTTAGTACAGTTAGTATGGATTAATTGTACTGTAATACAGCAACTGATTATAATCCAAATATATAGTAACTGATCATTAATTATGTCAATAATTAGTTATCAACATTAGAGTTAACAGGATAAATGTTTGACATACACCTCCAAAAACAGGATAAAATGTTTGACAAGACACCCTCCAAAAACAGGATAAAAAGTTTGACTAGACACCTCCAAAAGTGGGATAAATGTTTGACTAGACACCTCCAAAAATAGAATAAAATGTTTGGCAGACACCTCAAAAAGAGAACAAACTGTTTGAATAAACACCTGCCAAAAGCAGGAAAAACTTGTTTGATTAGACACAAGGCATGATAAACTATTTGACTAGACACCACCAAAAAGTAGGATAAACTGTTTGACTAGACACCTCCAAAAACAGGATAAACTGTTTGACTAGACACCTTCAAAAACAGGATAAAATGTTTGACTAGACACCACCAAAAAGTAGGATAAACTGTTTGACTAGACACCTCCAAAAACAGGATAAACTGTTTGACTAGACACCTTCAAAAACAGGATAAAATGTTTGGCAGAGACTTCAAAAAGGGAGATAAACTGTTTGACTAGACACCTCCAAAAACAGGATAAACTGTTTGAATAGACACCTCCAAAACCAGGATAAAATGTTTGGCAGACACCTCAAAAAACAGGATAAAATGTTTGACTAGACACCACCAAAAAGTAGGATAAACTGTTTGACTAGACACCTCCAAAAACAGGATAAAATGTTTGGCAGACACCTCAAAAAGGGAGATAAACTGTTTGACTAGACACCTCCAAAACAGGATGAACTGTTTGACTAGACACCTTCAAAAACAGGATAAAATGTTTGGCAGAGACCTCAAAAAGGGAGATAAACTGTTTGACTAGACACCTCCAAAAACAGGATAAACTGTTTGACTAGACACCTTCAAAAACAGGATAAACTGTTTGACTAGACACCTCCAAAAACAGGATAAACTGTTTGACTAGACACCTCCAAAACTAGAACACCATGCCTGACAAGATACCTGTTTTAACAGGACACACTATCTCGCAATTCACCTGCCTAACAGGAGACACTGTCAGAGTAGACACTTGTATTAGCAGGACAGCCTACAAGACTAGACACATGGATTATAACTGGACACACTGTTTGAAAATTCACCTGTATTAACATGACACCAGCTTGACAAGGCACAGACACTTGTATTAACATGACACCATGCTTGACAAGACACTTGTATTAACAGGACATCATGCTTGACAAGACACAGACACCTGTATTAACATCACATCATGCTTGACAAGACACCTGTATTAACAGGACAGCCTACATGACAAGACACCTGTATTAACATGACACCATGCTTAACAAGACACATGTATTATCAGGACAGTCTACATGACTAGATACATGTATTAACAGGACAGCCTACATGACAAGACATCTGTATATTAACACATGACTAGACACCTGTATTAACAGGACAGCCTACATGACAAGACACCTGTATTAACAGGACAGCCTACATGACAAGACACCTGTATTAACAGGACAGCCTACATGACTAGACATCTGTATTAACAGGACAGCCTACATGACAAGACACCTGTATTAACAGGACAGCCTACATGACAAGACACCTGTATTGACAGGACAGCCTACATGACAAGACACCTGTATTAACAGGACAGCCTACATGACAAGACACCTGTATTAACAGGACAGCCTACATGACAAGACACCTGTATTGACAGGACAGCCTACATGACAAGACACCTGTATTGACAGGACAGCCTACATGACAAGACACCTGTATTAACAGGACAGCCTACATGACTAGACACCTGTATTAACAGGACAGCCTACATGACTAGACACCTGTATTAACAGGACAGCCTACATGACTAGACACCTGTATTAACAGGACAGCCTACATGACTAGACACCTGTATTAACAGGACAGCCTACATGACTAGACACCTGTACTAACAGGACAGCCTACATGACAAGACACCTGTACTAACAGGACAGCCTACATGACTAGACACCTGTACTAACAGGACAGCCTACATGACAAGACACCTGTACTAACAGGACAGCCTACATGACTAGACACCTGTACTAACAGGACAGCCTACATGACTAGACACCTGTACTAACAGGACAGCCTACATGACTAGACACCTGTATCAGAACTGGACACTGGGCAATCTGATAAAAAAACTTAACATACTTTGCCCATCTGATGTCAAGTATGAGTCATGTTTCCTGTCCTTTCTCTTTACTGGATAGTTTAGAAGATTCCTTGATTTTGTCTTAAGAATTGAGACTAAAAACAAAACAAACAGAAGAAACATTACTTGATTTCATCATTTATCACTCACTGAATTGCCACACCATCACATATAAAATGTCATATTATAGCAGGATTTCAAAAATAAATAATGTGTTTCTGGTTTATGTGTTTATACTGGGGTCTATTATTTTACTTTTAACAATGTCCTTGAATATGTTTACTGAAAATGATAGATAAATCCATGTACAAAAACACATGAAAATTTTTACTATGTTTTCTCAGCATTAAGTCAGTTTTACAGATACTGAAATTCTTCTTTCATTGCCTATTGTTTCAAATGGGATTTTTGATTACTAGTCATTATGTGGAGTGCACATGTCATGGTATGATCACTCAGAAATATCTATTTACATTTGTGTATTAACTACATACTGCGTTTATAATCAGATTACCCCCTGAGCGTTGGTGCTTGACATCAACGATATTGCCTAAAAGTTTTTAACAAAACATTTTCCTATTGAATAGGATCTTAAGTTTTAGCTGGCTCAGTGTACCTGATGTGAATAACCCCAATGGTAAAAAAAATAACAATACTAATCCTGCATTGTTGTATGATACAATCAGATTGTATACAAAACTCTGTGACAGAGGTACCCATGCAGTACTTAAAGGTTATTTCAAATTGGGGTTTTTCGGTCACACTGACTCATCTTATGAAAAATGATTAAATCCACATGCTGTTGTTTAGAAATGAGCAATACAGGTCATTGTGTTGATCAATTAATCAATGGGTGGAATAGAATACCTACACCATTTGTACAGTCGATTGTTTTACCTTTATCCTGTCTGGTAGGAAACGTAAGATCTAAAGCTGCTAAATCACTGCACATCAATAATGACTCTACTTCCATCTTTAAATATTAATATCTCTATAATATATTTGTTGAGAGCTTCTTAGAAGTACTGGATGAATTTCCTTGATCACATTGATTCCAGCTGTCCTTTAGATTTTTCTCGAGATTTTAATTTGTGATTGATCTTGATCTAAACCAAATAGACTAAGAGGTCACCATTTTGTGTTTTTGACAAGTTTTTGGATGCTGTGTGTTTGTAGGACACTCGGTATATTTAGGAATCACCAAAATCAGCTGCTAGCTAGGCTATTCATAGCCTAGACTTAAGTTTACACCACAAAAAAAAAACAATGCACAAATACCTACATGGAAATGTGTTTTGAAATTAGTTGATGTTGTTATTTCATAAATACATGTATGTAAGATAAATAGATAGAAAAGATGATACAAAAATTCTATAAGATATTGTGTTTTAAATTGGAATTAATTCATGCAAATATTAAAAATTATCATCTACACTGTCCAATTGATCTCCTTTTTTTGTCAATATTTTCAAAGTTACTTATACACTAGATATATAATTTTACGATAAGGTCTTAATTCCACATTTTAATTAAAACAATGCTAAAATATTTTCAATTATTCTATGAAAGATATCAGTGTTGCATAGATGATCATACATATTTGAAAGCGTAACTGATTTCTGACACAATTCTAAAATCGGATGTTTGTAGTTTAGTTTCATTTTCAGTAGCCCTACCACCACTGACTTCCGAGATCAAGTTTCTGGCATGATTCATCAAACAGAAATTTGAAATACTTTTCAATTTTGAAAGTCATATAATAACTTAAATTGATTGAAAAGTTTGTGAAAACTTTGATTATAAAAAACAATGACTGGTATAGAATTAATTTTTTATGATAAAATTTTGGTAGTAAGCTTAAACTCTGTAAGTATGAACGAGAAAACGATCAAGCATGTGAAAGATATATCGCTTAAAGAAATAAACTGCAGTCAGCAAACTACATGGATGTGAACAAAGCAGTCTTTAGATAACATCTTCAATTTTGCGCTAGTATGTGTTGGTATTTTAATTTCGGCAACAGTTAAGGTTACATGTTTTGTCAAGTTTATAGGCCTAATTCTGTTTTTACATCGTGGTGAATAGCATGTTTAAATGCTTAACCAGCTATTAGACCTATATGATTTGTCTTGTAAGTCATGTATACTCTAAATTTTTGTGTTATTTTTGCATTTGCATAATTGTGAGCAAGAATTTATGAACTCATTTTTTGTTGAAATGAAACCTAATGTGCAGTTTGTGTGGATTGTACCTGATCGTTTTGTATTTCGACTCAGAAATGAACATGTTTAGATTTTCTTGGATTTTCATGCAGTAATGAACATATACTGAGGTTAACTGGAGTGAGTAATGTAAAACATAGCTCCTAGCTGCTCAATGAGATTGAAATAGGCCTATAGCTTGAATTTTTCTTCTTCTTCATGGCTTTCACCTCCACCAGTACTGATGATTCTGGTGAGGCTATAAGTGACCCTTTGGTCACTAGCCAGACACTTCACCACTAGACTAAAGAAAAATTCACACTAGCCAGAGCTAGAAAGGTGACCATGCTTACTCTCAACACGTCCCCATGAATACAGGTAAATATTCAACTGATTAACTAGAGTTCACTACTTGTTAAAACTACAGTAGTCTATAACCGTACACTGCAAACGGTGCAGATTTCAGAGTCACGCTTGACTGGGCATGGTCAGTTATTACCGCTCTAATCCCATTAGTGTCAAAATGATTATATGAAGATCTTATCACGACTACATGCCTTGATCCTTTTGAATACATGTATCAGTGTTACCAATATCTACAGATTATATGCCATTCCATACTGATATACCACCTCTTTTATTTCAATACACATCATACACAGTGTCTATAAGTGTCCTTGACACATTTTTTATTGCTATTCCTTGAGAATTACTGGATCAACTTTGACACTTATCACTAATATTAATTTTTTTCATTAATTCCATTGCTGTAGGGATTGCTAATCTGAAAATCAAAATGGCACCCATGTGGCCATGTTGAATTTGGACAGATTTCTGTGTACAGAATGGATCTCATTATTTTCCCATTTTAGGTGTTTCCTGTGTTCTATAGGTTTTCTTTGCATCCTTGATACTCAGTGTTTATATGGTTCTATTGATAGCAATCGCAGATGGGTGGCCGTCTTCGATTTTTACAGAATTTCAAAAAAAATTTAGCTCACCTGGCTGAAAAGTCACAGGAGTCTAATTAGTTATACAGCTCCTGATGAACCAAAATATCTAGAATCAAGATGTTGGGTGGCAGTTTCCTGGAAATAATGTGACGAAAAAAGTTAACAGAGCCCTTTATAGTGTTCCCTAGTTGTGCAAGTGTGTACTTCTTTAAAAAACTGAAGGATCATTGTCAGATTTCATAGGTAGACTCCCTTTCAGGTCCCTAGATGTGCACTTGTTTTATTTTGGACACAGACACGTTGGTTTGAAAGGAAGAATAAAGATTGAATTGATAAAGAAGTAATATTTTTTTCTATTCTGTATACAAGACTTCCCTTGTTTAAGAATGTAGCCATAATGATTGACATTCAATCCATTGATTAAGAATCTTTATGTAGAAGGGATGGAGGTGATTGAATTGAATCAATAAAGATCTGTTATATTGTTATAGATAGTTAAACCCAAGACTTAGTGATGGGAAATCAGTGAAAATGTGTCATCAAATATTGGTTCAAGTTAGATAGGCTTTAGATGTACCTAGTTAACTAGTTAATCAACTACATAACTGACTAAGTGTGCAGTATTCATGGAATGTGAATATGTTCCTTTTAAGTTTCCCTTTTTTGTAACTTTAAAGTAAAATACCTTTCTAAATAAGAATTTATAGAAGAATGAATGTCATTTGCAGCTGTCATCTTTATTATGATTGATCAGAGAAAAATTTAATGATCTGTGCATGATGTGGTTGAATGATTAGATGATCGTCTTTATCCTTAATAAGATCCCTTGTTTATTTGTTTGTATTCTATAGATAATCAATCTATGGTGTAGTATGTATACTATTGTTTAAAAATAGGTATACCATATACACATTAACAATATATTTCATATCATATATTTATTCCACACCATACACCACCAGCTTGTATATAAATAGGTTTAATTACCTTTATCCCTGAAGGATTAGAAAACTCAATACTTGTCCCTAATCCCAAACATAGGTAAGGTACCATATATCCTTAATGTAAGTCTTAAATCATGGGTATAATATAAATAGCATATATCCTTGTACTTTAAAATGGAATCTACAATATAACGCATTTTGTATTGAATGAAATTGAAATAGAATACAGGGAAACCATACGATGTTGGTCAATTTCTGTCCTGTTTCGAATTATTGCACTCTACAATGGTACAGGGGTATTTGGACAGCCAAAGTTGAAATTAATTAATGATGTAGGTTTGGGTGATTCATTTTTCCCTTTTTTTTTGGGGGGGGGGGAGGGGGGGGTTGTTTTGTTTTTCCTGCTTATAATTGATATATATGCGGTCTCAGAAATGATACTAATAGTTACACTGAGGACAAGAGTGAATCATTTTTCCCGTATTTATCAGGGTGTTTGTATTGCCATGAACCATCCAAATTAAAATGATATGTACATTACTGACACTTGTTGTTCTTTTAAGTAAATAGAAATGCAGATATATTTTAGCTGGTATCACTGACCAAGGTGAAGGATTTTAAATAAAAATTGGAAAAAGGGTGCATCAAAGAAAAGAATCCAACTGAAGTGAAACAGTTCTGCTTCATTTTGTGAAATGTTTACTTTCTCCTTTAAAACTTAAAAACCTGAATTTTGGATGAAAACTTTATTTCTATCACAGATCAAGACTACCAGGTAGATATTTTGAGTTTATTAATCCACTTCTGGACAAGAAGAATGGGGACATATACAAGTAGGAAGTGAGAGATATGTTCATTTCTGTGAGAAATCAGTTTGGTCACCATAGCACCATGTATTTATATGCCATAAAAATCCGTAATGTGCACACCTACGTAATATGCATAGGTACTTTTTGGAGCTGAAAATTGTGAAAGGAACTTCTACTTGCATTATGTGTGCACCCAAAAATTCAGTCAAAATTGATCTCTGTGAGCCAAAAAGTTGTTCTCAGAATGTTCAGCTAACACGTCGGATCAGCGATAGAAAGTCCAAAACTCATTAGCATTCTCTTCAGATTTTTTTTTCTTTTCATTTACTGCCTTTTAATTATGTTCTGTTTAATTATAGGGTAGGAACAAATGCCTAAGGCTTGTAGTACTATAATACCATGTGCACAGTGTCATCTGTACTCAGTCTGCATGATGCACACTTACCCAAGAAGACCTGACAGACTATTTTTGTTATTGTTGGTCAAGAGATATTCAATGTATCAGATGATTCAAAGATTTCATTTTGAGTTATGAATAATTAAATGCTACTTTATGTTGTAGGTGTATATCCCTGCGCTGATTGTGGCAGCCGTGTTGTGGTGTAGCATGGTCAGTCTCAGTCGCCTCTACCTCGGAGTTCACTCAGTACTGGTGAGTTGTCTGCCCTTTGAATAACAAGATATTGATACCTATATTAATACATTTTATCTTATATGTAAATGTCGTACTATGTGTTCCTGAGTAGCACTGTTGTGGTTTTTATTCATACATGAAATTGCTCAAAACATTATTCTAACAAAAAAATTATGTCTTTCATTCAATGATTTCCTGGGCAATCTTGTGATCCATGTATTCATATGTCCACGTATAATAGAAAGTTAGAAATCAAAATTGATTTCTGGTATATCTACAAAATCATGCAGCAATGGAAAATTAAAAAAAAAAAAAAAAAATAGCTACAAAACTTGAACCCAATAGCAAAATCATATAACAGTGAAAAACTACAAAGCTTAAACCCTTGCTGCTGAGTAACTAAATAGTTCACTTTTGACAATGAAATTTGTTATCTCTTTTTCTTGAGAAGATTTTTCTCAGGTTATCTGCATCGGGACTATTGACATAATGATTAATAAAAGGTACCAAATGGGGAGCCTTCATTGACAAAACTGTTGCTGGATTTCCGATTACGTAATAACGCACCTCTGTCTATCATGTCAACAATGAATTGTGAGTTAATTCTGGGAAAATTCAGATCTTTTATTCAAACAGGAATCAATTCTGCTACTATGAGTGATCGGACATGGGTTAAAAACCATAACTAATTATCAGATAGAATTGTAATGGTGTTTTTATATAGTTAATTGATTACCTAATCAGCTCACTATGTGTTCAATATTCATAGAAATTTAATCTCCTCTCCAGTAATAATAAAAAAATACTTCACTTACCTATGAACTGCATAAAAATGAATATCATCGGCATTTTTTATTATCGGTAATAAAAACTTTGTTGTTGCTTAAACACAAGAAAATATTAAGATACAGGTGATAAGTTTTAATTTGATTTTCAAAATGCTGTAAATTACAAACATATGTTTGATAAGCAACCTGTAATCATGTAGCATGTGCATATTGGTAGGAGACATGATTGTACAACAACGTAAGACAATTTAGGTTGTAAAAACCACACAGTAATACGGTGATACTGCTTATCGTAGGTAGTATCATGTTGTAACATGTTGCTGTAAAGATACCATTAGTTTTATGATAATATTTTCTCCAATAAGTACGTTTATAAGCAAGTGTCTACTAGAATGTCTGGGTTGTTGAAACTGCAAGGTATAAGCAAGTCAGGGCTCTCGATCTGCCAGATTTAGGGCCGATATTCGCCCCAGTCCCAATGCAAAATAGTATTTTTTTTCCCAATTTAGACCCCAAGTTTTCCCAATTCTAAGGAAAACACCATTATTTTTCCCAATTCTTAGGAAAACACCATTATTTTTCCCAATCATAGGGCCCTGGGCCCCAGTCCCAAAGTGGGGTGTGAGAGCCCTGCAAGTACACAAATTAAACCACGTTGACAAATTCATGTGACTGGTATACTGTAATAGCCTTATGATAAATATGTACATGTATTAGTTTTAGTCCATAAACTTTGTTAACTACTTGGCAATAACAAAATTTACGTTTGATCACCATAATAAAAAAAATACATGATTAAGAAAAATTCTTTGTCTACATTAGCTTTTTACATTTGATGATGCATATATATGAAATTGAATTCACAAAAAAATGTTTGACTGGTGTGTGTGCCATTTGACTTGTGACTTTCCGAAGCCTCTATATTAACCATTAGTGTAACTTTACATTGGTATATATAACAGGAACACAACAGATTAGTGGGTCAACAGAGCATTGGCTAATGTAACCTTATGTAAAGATCTGAGATGTGTAGTGCGCCATGCTCCTAACCCTTGCTGGTTTCTGACTCTTAGGAAGCTGAGAATCAGACTAGTGTCTGTGCTGGTGTGGTTTTGTCCTTTATCAAGACAATTTACACTAATTACTCTGAACAGCATGTCACAAGTCACCTGTATGTTGCTACTGCATGAAGTCCCACCTCAAAATGACCCTGGCTGTTCTCGGGGCAATAAACCTAGCAAACAGATCTTCATATTAGCTCATACAAGTGGTCCACACTGACCACATTTAATATCTTAAGTCCTTTTCCAAGATGGCCACCATAGCAATAATTGGTAGACAAGTCATGAAAAATACAAGGCAATTTAACTTAAGAGTGAAACATCATTTGGAATTGAAAAATATGCATTTTTAGGTCATCTGAAAGGATAAGCTGATGACATATCGCCGTCATGTATCATCTGTCATCATGCGCTGTCCGCCATGCCTTAAACTTTTTACATTTTAAACATCTCAACGTGCCTGAAATGAGATGGTCATGACCAAGTCTTGTTATTTTTCAAGGCAGTCTGAAATCCAGTATGGCTGCCATCTTAAAAACACATTTTAAACTCGTCAAATTTCACTGTTGACATTGAGATGAAATTGGTGGGAATGATAAGAAAGGAAAGCTATCAAAGTATTGTTATTCTTCGTCAAATGTTCAATATGGCATATATAGTGACCATTTTGTAACATGATTGCACACTCATGGTTTCTCTAAACAATACCCATTTTAAGCTTCTTATCAAGTTCTGTCTATGGGATTTATCTAAAGCTTGCCTGAAATGATCCTGAGATGGTCCTAACCACATGTTGCTATTTATCGGGTAAGTCTGAAATCTATTTTTACCACTACGGCCACTATCTTCACTGTCTTTTGGGTCAAATGTCACACCTGAGTACTTTTGAAATACGTTCAGATAAAAAGAATGTGTTTGTACAATTTCTGTCATATACATTTTCAGGTAATGTTAAATAAATGTAACAGAAGTCATCATTTATTACAATGTCTGATAGGATTCAAACCCAGGACCTGTGGTTTACTAATCTGACACATAAAGAGAAGTTATCTCTAGCTGAGTGGTATATAGAGGCTAGTATTTTACCAGGGTTTAATAAACAATTCATTCATATGCAAAAAAGCTCGTACTGTGAGTAACACAACAAAGATAATTTATTAGCTGTTTTTACTTTATAGAGAATACATTGTTATTTTGATTGAAAACCTGTCATTTCCTTTACAATAATTATTGTATGGGGTTCAAATTAGCTTCAAAATAATGGCTCCATGTGTACACAACATACCAGTTTGTTTACTCTATTATACAGAAACCTGACAGCATAACTTGAACTTGTGAAATGGTGAGGTATATGAATCTTAAGAATAAGTAAAATGTTCCTTAATTGTTTTAATATAATTTCTTAATACAGCATGAAATTTATTTGACATGCACGAGCTTCATTAGGTGTACGCATCTAAAGATAAATAACAGATGTTTCACCACGTTAAGTGCCAACATTTTATCATACATATGTAATTTATCATGCATATTAAAATGTAAAAAATAATCTAGGTTTTAAAATTAATTTTTGTTCTGTTGTAAGTCCTTATAAACTGATAAACTGTCGGTCACATTCCATTACCTAACGAGTTTTTAGTTACAGGTGACATTGCAGGTGTTATCTTAGATTTGTTGGGTAAATGATGTGTAACCAATCGTTTTTCATTGTGGATTTTAATGCTACTTATCTAGTAATACTGATTATCATATTGTTCATCAGAATTACAGGTAAAAACTAATTTACACATAGCACACATATTCAGAGCATGTGTGTAAACTCAGTATTATGTTCAGAGCATGTGTATAAGGTCAGAATTAATGTTTAGAGCATGTGTGTAAGATTAGAATACATGTTTAGAGCATGTGTGTAAGGTTAGAATACATGTTAAGAGCATGTGTGTAAGGTAATAATACATGTTTAGAGCATGTGTATAAGGTGAGAATACATGTTAAGAGCATGTGTGTAAGGTAATAATACATGTTTAGAGCATGTGTGTAAGGTAATAATACATGTTTAGAGCATGTGTGTAAGGTCAACATGCATGTTTAGAACGTGTATAAGGTGAGAATACATGTTTAGAGCATGTGTATGAGGTGAGAATACATGTTTAGAGCATGTGTGTAAGGTAATAATACATGTGTGTAAGGTAATAATACATGTTTAGAGCATGTGTGTAAGGTAATAATACATGTTTAGAGCATGTGTGTAAGGTAATAACACATGTTAAGAGCATGTGTGTAAGGTAATAATACATGTTTAGAGCATGTGTATAAGGTGAGAATACATGTTTAGAGCATGTGTATGAGGTGAGAATACATGTTTAGAGCATGTGTATGAGGTCAACATGCATGTTTAGAGCGTGTGTAAGTAATAATACATGTTTAGAGCATGTGTATAAGGTGAGAATACATGTTTAGAGCATGTGTATAAGGTCAACATGCATGTTTAGAGTGTGTGTAAGTAATAATACATGTTTAGAGCATGTGTATAAGGTGAGAATACATGTTTAGAGCATGTGTATAAGGTCAACATGCATGTTTAGAGCATGTGTAAGTAATAATACATGTTTAGAGCATGTGTATAAGGTCAACATGCATGTTTAGAGTGTGTGTAAGTAATAATACATGTTTAGAGCATGTGTATAAGGTCAACATGCATGTTTAGAGCATGTGTAAGTAATAATACATGTGTGTGTATAAGGTCAACATGCATGTTTAGAGTGTGTGTAAGTAATAATACATGTTTAGAGCATGTGTATAAGGTGAGAATACATGTTTAGAGCATGTGTATAAGGTCAACATGCATGTTTAGAGCATGTGTAAGTAATAATACATGTTTAGAGCATGTGTGTAAGGTAATAATACATGTTAAGAGCATGTGTGTAAGGTAATAATACATGTTTAGAGCATGTGTATAAGGTGAGAATACATGTTTAGAGCATGTGTATGAGGTGAGAATACATGTTTAGAGCATGTGTGTAAGGTTAGAATTCATGTTTAGAGCATGTGTGTAAGGTCAACATGCATGTTTAGAACGTGTGTAAGGTTAGAATTCATGTTTAGAGCATGTGTGTAAGGTTAGAAGAATTCATGTTTAGAGCATGTGTGTAAGGTAATAATACATGTT